TATTTGATACAAATTCAAAATCATAAGGTTTGACTTTTAAAGAATAATTTGAAATTTGTGCAATTAATTCATTTGCTGATTTATTTCTTCCTCCTAATAACTTCCATATTGCTAAAGCCTTTTTACATATAATATAAAAGGTATTCATTCATAAACCAGTATCTAAATTATTAAATATATAAATAAATATTTATTTAAATTTAAATTTAAAAAAAATTATAAATACCTTTATATTTAGGATGTAAAAAATAAGTCAACAAATAATAATCAAAGTTAAATTCTTTCCATTATCAATTAAAAACTCTTTGACATTCATCTGAAAATCTAGCTTCTATTTGTGATAATTCCTTAATTGTTGCTGCCATAATTACAAGATTAATAAAACAATCAGCTAAAGTTGTTAACTTATATTCAAGATTTACTATAGCTTTTTTAATAGATAACAATAATGCTCTCAAATCTTCAACATTTCTGAAAAAATTTCTTTGTTTCAAAATTGATATTATTTCTAAATTTAATATTTGTAAATCATTTTCTATTATCTTTAAAAAAAAATAAGTATAAAATTAAATTATATTAATTTAATTAAAATTTAAAATTTAAAATATATTATTACCTGCTTTAAAATGTCTTCACATCTTAGAATTGAATCAATACAGTCAAAAGCAGTAGTCCATCTTGTTGAAATATACTTTTTCAATTCATCACCTGTAACTAAGTTATCTATAATTTCTTGTTGAATATATACACCAGCTGCATGTGATTGATTGAAAAAATTTATAATCTTTTTACAATTTGCAATTATATTTGCAATCCAATCAAGTTGTATAATATCTTTTGACAAAAGATGAATGTGATATACAATGTATCTCATTGATAAAATATGTGGATATTTTTCTGCTACCAACCTTTTTACAAGTACAATATACTTATAAAATAAAAAATTTTATGTGACAATAATAATTAATTTTATTATATTAAGTTTGAAGATGATGATCATGTGATAATTTATACATCTGTGGTTTCCATATAATATAGAGCGATTTTCTCTAAGATGATTTTAGTATCATTTGAAAGATCTCATTTCAAGTGATACTTGAATTACCTTTCCAAAGACAATAATTAAAAATCAACTACGTACTGCACCAACGATTTCAAAATTCAAAATTATTTATTATTGAAAATTTTTTTTTAAAATCTATATTACATATTTTTAATCACGTATGATAAAAAAGAATTTCATATAATTGATGATTTCTATCAATACACAAGATAATAATATTGATAATAATATTATTATTAATTAATATAATAAAAAAATAAAATAAAATAATAATTTTTTATAACATTTACTACTTCAATTTAGGTTATCAACACTTGTTATTTTTAAAAATGAAAGGTAGCTACCTGATAAGCAGCTAACTTCTAGAAAACCCAATTCTATTTATAGTATCCTCAAAAACTTGAGAATCAAAAAACTTCAAGTGTTGCTTTATGCAATACTAAACTTTATGGCAATCAACTAACGCGCATGACATAATCAATCAAAAAGTTAATTGTATATCGTTATCCTTACCACAACGAAGAACGAAGAGGTTCAACACAACGAATAATTGATATAAATAAAACTGGTATTGCTAATGTAATTTCTACTATACGAGATGTTTCTGTAGTATTAAGTATCGGATTAGATTCTTTAAGATAAAGCCAAAAATGAATAGTGAATAATATTAATAATATAATATTTAAATCCTCGGAAACATTAGATAAGTTGATAATTTGATCTTTGTTTAATCTTTTCTTCCCGAATAAAAAGTATCCTTCTTTCTTAACTATAAAAAATAAATGTACATAAATAAATAAATATATGGAAATAGATGTAAATATACATATGTTTAATATTTTAAAATATTCGTATTATTTGATAATAATAATAAAAAAAAAGAATATGGGAATATGTCTTACATAATATGACAGCAAGACTTTCAAAGAATCCGACATCGCTTTTAAAGAAATCATTGATACGATAAATGACTATCATTCGACATACTAATTCCATAATGATGTATGCTATAAGAATATATTTTGCTATTTTTTCGTATGAAGATTGAATTGAACTCTAAAGAAATATGATTTTAAATAAATATTTTCATTAAATCTGATCGATAAATGATTAATAACAATAATTAATGACAATAAATTAATGGTAATTAATAATTAATGGAAATAAAAACGTAATATTCATCAATATTTACGATAATATAACAAAAAATCAAGATTCCAGATCCTATTAAAAGATAAAGATTCGAACAAGCTACAAAAGACCAACATATATATGATAATTTTGTTCTTTTTGGTTCATCTAATCGTCTTCCGGTGCTATTGGGTGGAAATAGAGGTGAAGGAGGAGGTTGTGATGAGCGAGGAAAATTTTGTGAATCAATTAGAATCCTTGTTGGATCTGTGATATAAGGTGGAGTAAATAATGATGATGATGATGTATCTCGATGAACTGGATGAGTTGGTTCATGTGCTGCAACAATGTCTTTTTCGGAGTTTTTTTTTGATGCATCCATTGTTTTTATCTTTTTTTCAATTTTTCTTTTATCTTTTTTATCTTATTTATCTTATTTATTGCGTTTGAAATTTGAAATAATAAAATATTTTTATTTTAAGGCTAAAGACTTGGCACAAAATCAACCTTGTGGCTTTTTCGGTACTAACGTATAATATTATATCTAATTTAACACTGCCTCAATAAACAATTTTAAATATGATATATATTTTTTATCACCAAAGTTTCGCCACATTATTAGAATTATGTGGATAGAATATTGGTAGAATTACAGAATGCTGATAGAATATTGGTAGAATTACAGAATGCTGATAGAATATTGGTAGAATTACAGAAACTGACAGAGAAATTCTGTTACACACAAAAGTGTGGTCTAGAGACATTCGCATTAAGATGTAAAAGATAACCCGCGAATCTTTGGTTTAGATAGGTCAGATTACAAAACACGTATGATCGACTGTTTTCTCGCAATTTGGCAAGCTGGCGAAAATGATGAATTTTTAGTGACCAGTAATTCATTTGGAATTTTTGAAGGAATAAATTTTGAAATACGTAAAGACATCGGTTCATTTCAATTTGCCTTCCATTGGCTTTACGTCATCTCCCCAAAGATAATATCGGTCCTTTGCCATTCGGCGTTCCGAAAAAGAAAACGGATTTGAATAATTATACAAATTTCTTGGATTTAAATATCATTCAATTTTTGAAAATGTTTCTCATCCATCAGCAACTGCAAAATATTGATTCCTCTCGTGCAGGATTAAAACCAGATAATGCATTTGACAATTCATTTGATAGGTATATAAATAGTATAAGTCTTGAGACATAACCAGATGATAAATTTACTTTTCCCTTCGTTAAAGTCAATTCAGTCACTGTTTATCTTGTAAATGCTATCAGATTTGATTATGTCATATGTTTCTCCTTCGTGCCTCTACAAAACAATCAAACAAGTTTAAAAAAGAAAATTTTCACAGAATTAAACAAAACTCCAACCAGAAGCCGTACACATATTTGGCATGAATGTAGGATGGTTACAAAATCTTGATTGCATATTGGAAGTATGTTTATATAATAGTATTAAATATAAATATCACTTTTCTCGAATGAATAAATTTTAAATAAACTTTCAAAATGATATTTCTTTATACTGAAATAAAGATCAAATTAAAATTTATTAAATTTTATAATAATATTAATAAAATTTACTATTACTGCAATTTTCTAATCTCTTTTTTTTAAAGATGCAATTATAACGAACAAAACGGAAGAAGACAACTAAACATAATTGTTTACATTTATATCATCAGATTATTCTTCTTCTTTATAGATATGGTTATTATTTCTATGGTCATTATTATTATTATGTCATTTATGGTGATTCCATTTTCACGATATTTAATATTTTACACATTTGTTTTTATATTTTATGTATTTTTAGTTTGCGATATTGTTTTTATATAATATTTTTTTTTATTAGTTCTTCATGAATTTTTAAATCTCGATAATACGAAATAAACAGATAATCAAAAATTTTAAAACATAAAATTGTCACTGGTCACTCAAAGAAGATTATTTCAAGAATTCATATTTATTTATTTATTTGTAGTTTTCAGTTTGAATAAACATCTGTATACCAAATTTTCTTGCCCAATGTCAGAAATGAAATATTGTATAAACGATTGTATGACATTGATGAATAGAACCACGTATTTAAAAAAAAGTATATTCCATTATGAAAAATTATTGTTTAATTTTATTTTATTATTCAATTAAATGATAAAAGAATAAGGCTATAGCTATAATAGTAAAGAAATTATGTTTTAGAAAGTGTTATATTTTGAGGGGATTTATCAGAATTTTTCACGGATAGCAATCCGTATCCGCTATGGAGTCTGCGGATATTTATTATTCGGTTTATTTTTATCCTATTTTCATCTTATTATTATTATTATTATTATTATTAATTTATTATTGATTTCTTTCATTAGATTCATGAAAATCCACAGTCCGCTATCAATAACCAAGATAAAATAATTTAATTTCATCTTTTGATTTAAGATTTGTAATTTGATTTTTTATTTGGTATTTTTGAATGTATATTATATCATAATATTATTTATTATATAAATTTAAATTTATTAAATACCAACAATTGTGCAAGTAAAAATCTTTATTTTATAAAGAATAATTACAAAAACATATCGGATATTATTCATGATAATAAATCAAAACTTTACAAAATAAATAATTCGTATTGTCAAACAAATCAGCCCGAAAAAGCTAGACATCTTACAAATTCAAAAAGGAAATATTAACATTAGCAAAGTTTTATTGTCCATATTTCTTTTTTTTTGAATTTGGGAGGCATGTAGGATTCTCATTAAATGTTATTAATTATATTAGCTGAATTTAAAGTTTATAGTATTATTGTTTGAAATACTATATTTAGATTTAACAAAAGTAAACAGGAAACATTTAAAAAAAGATTTTAACAATGCGGATATATGTGGAGGTATGGGTAGGTAGGTGTATTTTTTATTTGTTTTAAAGAAAAAACAAAAGAAAACAAAAAAACAATATACTTACCTTTCTCCTCATTTATCTTTTGGAATTATTTGGAATTATTTTTTTTTTAAAAATAATATACTGTACTTACCTCTTTAATTTTTAACAAAAATTTATAAAATGATATTTTTTATTTATTTTTTTTTTATAAATATAAGGGAAATTAAGCTTAGCGAATACTTTATAATTATCTCTCTCAAAAAAAAACATATTTTATTATCTTACATTTTTAATAAAAAATATATTCTTTTAGTAAAAAAAAATATCTATTAAACAAAGATGACCAGCAACTCTCGAAAAAGGCCAAGATCTGCTATACAAGCGACATCAGCCCAGAACTCAACCGAAAACACAAATGGTTTGTTACCCTTCTGGAATGAATACACAAAGAAGGAATCAGAAAAGTGGTGGTTACCTGAAAAGACCACTTGCTCTGCTTTGGATTCAAAATTGTGGAATGAATCCTAAAAAATTGAGGACATAACTCATGGTTCTCAGTTAATATGTTTGTATCAACGATAGAAAAGCCGGAGAGCTTACAGTTATCACAATATTTGTGGCGAGATACAATGGACTATGTTCAACCATAAGAAAAAAAAATACCACCCAAAAGATTCAAGAACTCCAAAAAGGAAGAGGAGAAACTTTCAATAGGCAAAGCACAACGCATCCGTCTTTATCCCACTCAAAATGAGCGACTAAAACTCAGAAAATGGATGGGAACAGCACGAAGACGTACAAAATGCAATTGAAAAGAGGGAACAAAAAAGATTTACGGGCACGATGCCTTAATGCCGTAACTTTCAAAGACGATGCAAAACTTAAGTGGGTTATAGAAACACCTTATGATTTACGAAATGAGGCTATGAATGACCTTCTTAAAGGATATCCTTCCAATTTTGCATCTAATAAAAATTTTAAAATGAAGTTCCGTTCTAAAAAGGATCCTCGACAATCAATTGTAATACATTCTAAACATTGGAGCAGGTCCCGTGGTGAATATTCATTTCTTCCTAAAATGAAGTCAGCAGAACCTCTCCCGGAAAAACTTGGATATGATAGTCGTCTTGTTATGAATCGCCTTGGGGAATTTTAGATGTGTATTCCTAAACCACTGAAAATAAGGAATGAAAACCAAGGTCCTTTATTCTCAGAAGCACAGGAAAAGGTTTTTATTTAATTTTTTTATTTAATAATAATTTAATAGGAAGGATCGGGGGGTGATTGCTCTGGATCCAGGCGTACGTACTTTCATGACCGGCTATAATCCAAGTGGAGTAGTTATTGAGTGGGGAAAAAATGATATTGGTCGAATTTATCGACTAAGTCATAAATACGATAAGCTCCAAAGCAAACACGATAGTATTCATGGAAAAAAAAAAACAAGCGTAAGCCCTATAGGTAAGTTTAATTAATTCATTAATTTATTATTATCTATAATTTAACATTTAATATACATTTATTATCTATATTAATTATTTTAATTATATTATTTATATTATTTATATTAATTATTTAATATTTTTAATTATAGATTACATCGTGTTATGCTTCGCATCCATAAACTAGATAAATGGCTTTGCGAAAATCATCGTGTAATATTATGATCAGAAGTGGTCAACGACATATCGGTTCCAAGACAGCCCACATTTTCGCTTTCAACAACATCTAATCCACAAGGCACGTGAGAATCCATGGTGTCAAGTAGTTCTTTGTACAGAAGAATACACAAGCGAAACTTGTGGATCTTGTGGCTATATTCACAAAAACCTGGGTGGATTCAAGGAGTTTTGCTGTCCCCAATACAAAACTAAAATTGACAGGGATATTAATGGTGCTCGTAATATTCTTCTTAAATACCTCACCAAAAAAGAGTCAGCTTAGGCTGATGAGGGTGCCCATTCCCAAACAGGACTTGTAATGATAGAATAGATGTATTTGCAATATCACATGATTAGCAAAGATTAATTTTGAAAATTTTATTTAATAATAATTATAATAGTAGAGTTAAGCTAATTTTTTGAAGTCAAAACCCCCCCTGAAATAAACCCCAACTTTGATTACTTTTTCAAAATTGGAATTTAACAATTCATTTTTTTTAATTTTAATTATAAAATGTAACAATTAATATCTTTCAAAAAATATTAATAATATTAGAGAAAATTATTTTTCGACTTTGACTTCGTTTAAATTTTGAGATGAATTTTGGTCAACACCTCCGGAAACTTGTTCTCGATCTATATCCATAGAATTTTTTGCCGAATTTGGAAGTTTAGATTTAACTTCACTCAAAGGTAATTTTCCTGCTTGAAGTGCATTGATTTTTTGATCATCGAATGGATGATTTTCTTCAGTGTGAACCCAATCTATGGTTTTTGGTGCTGTACGAGATGTAATGATTTTGACTTCTTCATCAATTATTCTGTATAATAAAAATAATAATAAATAATAATGTTAATGACAATTTTTAATAATAAAAAACGAAGTAATAAATAATATATAATCATTTTCATCATTTTCATCATTTTGACCTGCAAAAACCGTCAAGATCCAAATCGTTTTCATCAAGACCAAAGGGATTTTCGATTTCAGCGCCAATTCTCTCAATACCGATCAAGACAAATGTGGCAAAAAATACTACAGCGATTGTGGCCCATCCCGTGGTTGCAACCAATTGAAAAGGTAAACTAAGACAATAAATCCACACAACTTGATTTAAATGAATTGAATAAGCTAAGGGAATAGGAGTTCTCAAAATTCTCTCAAAATTAGATAAACAATCAACCAAAACATTAAGATTCTGGAGTAAACTATTACAGGTTGGGGCATCAATTCTTTTTTTTTTCATTTGGGTGTGAATATAAGAGGAAAGAAATAAAGAGATTTCCAATGGAAGATTATAATTCGGAATATTATCTCCCTTTCCACGTAAATGAGGTTTTTTTTTACGGTTTGTAATATCACTACTTTCGATACCTTTTGGCCAATAATCTGGTGAATCCAGTTTTACGTTCGAAACGAGAGTTTTAAGTTGGTCATCCTTATCATAAGCGTATTCTTCACGAAGATAATGTTTTACAGCAATGGCAAATCCTGCAAGAAGCTTTATAGCTTTCTTTTTCTCTATCTCTAATATATTTGTTCTTTTTTCCAGGTCTTTTTTTTCATGTTTTTTTTCTTCCTCACTTAAGCTTACGCAAACCCAAATATATCTAGTTATATTTCTAATTCCAACACTCAATGTTGACCATAATCTACGACCTTCATAATATCTATCATATTTAATAATATTTATAAGATTTATAAGATTTAATTAATTAAATTTTTTTTTAATAATTTTTGATAAGAAATTTGACGTTACCTATCATAAGCAGTATTTGTTCTATAAGTAAGTAATAAACCAACAACCAAACCGAGTACAGAAATAAAAGTATTTGCTATACCCAGTTTTATACTTGTTTTATGATGAACGACAGTAACGACTGCTGCTACTATAGTGACAACAATAGTTGGAATAATTGCCGTTGGAATGACAGAACCTTTAAACCTAAGCGTATGAGGTCTATGAGGTTTATATGGACTAAAACCTTTAACCATTTTGACAATAATTTTTTTACGTTAGAATTTTTTGAATAAAAAAAGATTTAATGTTTAATGTTTAATGTTTGAACAACGTACGTATTTATATTGTCTCATTTAAATACTATTTTGGTAAGCTGTTACCGTTATAATTATGTCTAGTTTCACTACATAATTCGAATGTTTATTGATTTTATTTAATATTCGATATGCATTCGTATAAAGTAAATATGTAACAAAAGGAAACTTTGTAACAGGAGGAAATTGAAAAAATTGCTGCAACCATCCCCAAATTGTCATTGTGAAAATTATATCACTTACTATAAGATCACCAATTTAATGAAGAACCAGATCACCATCACCATTTTAATGAGAACACCTGAACCAGTCCGATCGTTTAATTGTTCCTAAAAACGTCATTACATAATTATTATAAATTATAGATAGTATAGTATCGTATCACAACGCCAAAAAGTTAATTATAGTTTATTTATTTTGCAAGTTTACAAAAAAAAAAATGAGTCAAGGAAGGAGACCAGTGAGGTAAATAGGTACTGCAATTTCATAATTACTACTATTTTTTTCACTGACTTTTTTAAAAAAATCGTAGAACTTATCACCACAACTCTAACTACCGTGATAATCGTTCAGCTTTATTCACTGGTGCTCAGTCTTCAGGAAGTTCACCTGCACAACTAAGAGCAAATTCTACAAAATACCCAACGAATACCCATTTAGATCTAGAAAGTCAAAATGATGATAAAATCGAGGGGTTGACAGGAAAAGTAAAACTTTTAAAAGAGGTTAGTAAGAGGGTGTGATTGTTTATGTCAGTATTAATAACGTCTAATAAATTTTGATATTTTAATATTTTTCAAGATCACACTTAGCATCGGTGAATCAGTGAAGGAATCTAATTCACTTATAAGTTCAATGGTATGGTAAACTTATAAAATTATTTCTCATATGTTATATATTTCATCTTTATTATATCTGATTTTTTTTTAAAAAAAAAAATTTTTATGGATAAATAAGTCTGACGAATATTTACGAACTGGAGATTATCTTGGTGGCAGTATAAATCGACTAAAAACATTAGCATCAATTCAAAGCAATCAGTTCTATGTTTATTTTGCTTTCATTTTATTTATGATGTTTATATTTTTATATTTAATTTTTATTCGATAATCAAAATTTTATTATTATTCTTTATTATTATTTTTTTTTATTGATAAATAGAATATTTTTTTTTAATGTACAATTTTATTAATATTTCTAATATTTTTTGATGAAATTAATTTAAAGTTTTAATTAAGAACGACCTTGAAAAATGGTTTTAAAGAAGTTGTTATAATAGAATTTGTCAATTTTTTGTGGTTCAAGTAGTGGCATGGTGCTTCCCCATTTATTTTCTTTTGCTCCTACAAGAATTTTTGTTCCCCAACTTTTTAAAATTTTTACATCTTGGGTAGCTTCTTCCTTAGAATATGATGTCAATATACAGGGAACTACTTTTTCCAATAAAAATTCAATTGTAGGTTTCCAGAGTTCAGTATTTTCTTCATAGAGTCCAATGTTGAATCCTACCGCAATATGAGGGCTTGTATAATTCGAAGAATAACCATATTCATGATATGACATAGGATAGAATGCACAGATACGTTTTCGATTCGCATCAGTACAACGCGAACAACATGATAATGGTATACCGGAATTTTGTTGTGGCATTTCCAATCCAATCAAAATGATTCGAAGTGTTTTTAAGTTTGGGAGTACATGCATTATTTCCTCAAAAGTCATTAACGCTAATATCTCATATTGACTGGCCCCGATAATATGAATTACCATTTCTTCAAGGGATCGCAAGTCATTCCGAGTATAAAATCTTTCCAATGCTGATAAAATTGTTAATGGTAGTGAAAGGGAATTAGTGATAACTCTACATAAAGTATCAAGTTGAATAAATTGAGAATTCTTTCTCCATTTAAAATATCCATTCCAATCTTTAGGTAATGGTGGATAAATAGAACTTTCATCCCATTCTTCAGGAGCCCATAGAGTTTCAGAAGTATCTTGATATCTATCAATAAATCACAGAATAAAATCATATAAATCAATCACAAATTCCAATCGCATAATCTTTATCATTAAAAAATTAAAACGAAGTTTTAAATCGGTTTATATATTAATATATATATATATATATGTGTGTGTATATATTATGAACCAACCTTATTCTTTCACAATTAATCATTAATTGATATGTTTTACAAAGAGTTAGATGCTTTTCTCGATGTTGTTTCCAATGTTCTTGAGAACAACAAAATATAATTAAACATTGCGAGCATGGGATCAAAAGTTGATAATTTTGTAAATCTTTGCTAGTTCTGAAACAAACATGACATTTTGGTTGATGTAGCCACGCATTTCTCTCATAACTCGACAACTCTCTATCAAGTGGCGCAGATAATAATTGCATATGATAAATCTGTCGCTTATTCCATTCTGATTCTTCATTACAAGAATACCAAGCTTCTTCAAAATTATGAAGTTCTTCAACTGCTGTACAGAAATGCTTATGATTACTGAAGTCTTCTTTTTGACAAGACTTTGAACAATAGGCGGACATTCGACAACGTGAGCATCTAAAAAGTGATTCAACTCCTACATCCCTACTGGTTTTACGACAATTTGAACAGGCTGTGCCCGAAATTTGTAAATAAGTTTTACGTTTTTGTAATTCCAATTCTTTCGAAGTCATCGATTTCAAAAATAGAAGAGAATCTTGGTGACACATTATGATTGGTTGATGCTTTAAATAAAGCGCGCGAAATTTTTCAAATCTTACAGGAATTATTTGAATTATTTACATATTTGGTTCATAAAACTTTAAAAATAAGCAGTATCTTTAGTTTCGCCTTTTCTTTATATTTAAAAAAAAATTTGAAACATTAGTAAAGTTATTCACAGTTTGATTAATGTATAATATTGCTCCGCAAATCGGTTATGGACATTCTTCATCCATATCACCCCAAGTAATAGTTTCTGGTGTAAATATTGGGAATGAAGGTGGTCCTCATATACCCAATGGTAAAAAAATAAAAAAGATATTTCATTATATTATTTTTTATTGGAAATGAAATCGTGAACCATTAATTTGCGATTTTTCATGTGGTTTTGTTTTTTTTTTTCATTATTACACATAGTCCGTCTTTCATTTATTACCGCGACGGACCAATCTAAATTCGAACAACTTTTTCTTGAGAATACAGCGGGAAGAAAATACCTAACCGGTAAATCTATTTTTTAAATTTCAAATTTTTTTAAATTAATAATTTATATTATAATATAAGATATTTATTTCAATTGTAATTGTAATTGAACTTAAGGCGATGTAGCAAGTAGGATTTTAACGCATTCAAAATTATCTACCGATGCATTGGCTAAAATATGGTACGTAAATCAAACTTTTTTTTAAAATTTAAATATGATATATATTGAACTCTCACATTGATCTCACATCATATAATAATCTAGGACATTATCAAATATAACTTCCAGTGGAAATCTTACTTTTCCTGAATTTGCTCTTGCTATGTATTTGACCAATTTAAAAATTAAAGGTCAAGAATTACCAAATTCAGTTCCAGAAAATATTCATAATGAAGTATTTGGTATGATTGAACAAATAAAAGTTATTGAACAAAAGCAACAACAACAACAACAACAACAACAACAACTTCAACCTCAAATTCAGCAAATACAGAGAAGTAATAGTCCATCACAACAACAAATTATGCAACAACAATATTCTGGAATGAATATGGTTTCTAGTGTTCCCAATGTTGGACAATATCCTTCTTCTTCATCTATTACCACTTCTATGGGAAATATTATAATGCATGATATGACGCCTTTTACAAGAAGGATGATGCCACAACAAAATCCTCCTCAACAATATAGTACTATTGAATTACAGGGAAATGTAAAAATTCCTTGGGCTGTGACTCCTGAAGAAAAAGCTCAATATCTGGAAATATTTAGACAATGGGATTCATCGGGATTAGGATATTTAACTGGCAAGTTTATAAATTCATTTTTTATTTATTTTATTTTATTTTTTACATTATCTCATTTTTATTCATTTTATTTTCTTTAGGTGACAAGGCAAGAGAAATTTTATCGCAGTCAGGGTTACCTAAAAATGATTTAAGGCAAATTTGGTGAGAAATTTATCTAAAGCTAGTTTTATAATATAATTTTATAATATAATTTTATAATATAATGACTTTGTGTTTCATTTTTATTATTATAATTAAATACATTAATCAAAAAAAAACAGGAATTTATCTGATCCAAATAATAATGGAAAATTAAATCAAGATGAATTTGCTGTAGCCATGCATTTAATATATAGAAAACTCAATGGTTATGATGTTCCTACAACTCTCCCTCCTGAGCTTATTCCTCCTTCCACGAGAGAGTTAACTGAAAGTGTTAACCAACTTAAATCACTTTTATCTTCTGACGTACGAGCTTCACAAACGGGATTGACCCCAAGTGGTCCTCAATATTTGAAATCTAGAAGTTTTACTGGTACACCTACAATTGAAAGAAATGATGCAGTGGCATATAAACATAAGGATGATGATGCAACTTATGTATCAGCTGCTAGAAGACGTGTTCCTTCAATATCTCGTAGTACCTCTAGTTCATTTTCTTCCTTACATACATCAACAGGTTCAGAGACACTTGGAGATGATTCATCAAACAAATTATCCGAATTACGAAAACAAATTCATGAAAAGCAAATTTTATTAGATGCATTGTCTTATTCCGCTGAATCTGCACCAATTTCACATGATTATTCTTATTCAAGTGATATGACCGATACTTTTGACTTAAAGTATAAAATTAAGGATTTACAGAAACAAATAGAAAATGCAAAGGATTCTCAACCAGAGTGGGTTTCTCGAGAGTATAATAGGAATTTTGATGAATTAAATTCCATGTTAAATCAACATCATAATTTAGATAATGACCTAAACAATATGCTTTCAAGTATTGTTCCAAATTTGATTGTAAAGGTTCGTGAAATTAACAATAAAATTGTTGATGCAAAATTAGAACTTTTTAGAATTCGTGATACACAAGGTGGTGGATCAAACATTATAGGCACTGGTCCAGGTGGAACTATTACGGAAGCGGACAAAATTAAAGCAAAGGCACGGGCTATGGTTCAAGAACGTGTGGCACGAATGACGGGAAAATCTATAAGTTTTGGTGGTGGTGGTGGTGGATATGACTCATCAGCATCAAGACGATTTGATGAAGAAAAATCTAAAGCTTATTCTGAAAAGGCTACACGTGAACAGAGAATTGAAGAAATTGAAAGAACTGTGTCAAAGTTACAAAATTCTATGATAGAATTAACAAGGCAACGTGAAGAAATTGAAGAAAAATTACGACAATTTAATAAAGGATCTCTTGCTAGTGATATCAAAAAATGGGAAGATGGTATAGGTGTTAGCGATGAAGTTCGGAAATTCATAGAAGAACTCAAAAGTATTGGAAATATAACATCATCAAGGAGTGATTACTTATCAAGTAGTAAAGATACTTATAACGATAATTATCAAGACACTTATAAAGACACTTATAAAGATAATAACCAAAATACTTATAAACGTTCAACTTCTTCAACTTCGATTTACATTTCTTCTAATGTTTCAGCCCCAAGTTCTTTATCTAAGGCAAAAACCCGTGAAGAACGTGAAGCATTTATTAAAGCAGAAGGTGCTCGTAGAATTCAAGAAAGGTTTGCAAATCTTGGAATCAAACAGACAAATACTCCACCTACTGCTCCCGGTTCTCCTACACTTACAGACCGTCTCGCACGCGAAAAAGCCGAGGCGGCTGAAAGGGAAGCTCGAGCCGATCGTGAACACGAAGAACGTGAACGTTTGCGTAGTCAAAAATTATTAGCAGAGAAACAAAAGAAAGCTGAACTAGAAGCAGAAAAATTAAGAAAAATGGAAGAGTTTGAGCGGAATGAGGAATCAAGAAAAAATCAGTGGCTTTCTGAAGCAAAAGAACTTGAACATGCGAAAGATAAGAAAGCACGTGATAAAGAAGAAGCGGCCCGTGCAATGGAGTTAGAATTAGAAAGACGTCATCTAGAGGAAGTTGAAAGAGAAAAACGACAAAAAGAAGAACGCTTGGCACGTATTAAAAGAGAACAGGAAGAAAGAGCGGCAGAAGAAGAGCGACGAAGACTTGAACAAGAAGCTTTAATAGAAAATTCAAGAGCAGCTAGAGAAAGAATCAAAAAAAGGGAAGAAGAAGCTAAACAACGTGAGGAAAAGGTAGAAACATTGCCAAAGGTTACGAGAGAAAATTCACTTGAATCATACTCTAAGGTTACGAGAGAAAATTCACTTGAATCATACTCTAAGGTTACGAGAAAAAATTCACTTGAATCAGACTCTAAGGTTACTGATTTACCAGAAGAAAATGTGAATAATAATCCATTTTTAATGTTTAATAAGAAAAATGAGAATGAACAATCTAATGTTGATGATCAAACTAATAGTGAGGAACAGAACACAAAACCGATAACTAGTACAAATCCGTTCTTTAAATTTACAAATCAATCAACTATTTCTCGAGAAATTCAAAGTAATGATAAAAAAGATGATGATGATGATGATTGGAATGATACCAATCAAAATGAAGATAGTGGTGATGAAGGAGCTAATGTTTCGTTTCTAAATGCTAAGAATTTAGCTGCTAAATTATTTGGTTCAGCTGAAACACCACAGAAAAAACAATCAATAGAGGTGACAAAATCGGAAACAAAAGATACATCATCTATTCCACCACCACCACCTCCTCCACCACCGCCATCGTCATCATCATCATCACTTCCTTCAAATATACCGGTAGCACCAGCACCGGCACCACCAGCGCCATCACCGCCTCAACTTTCTAGTTCTCCAATACAATTAACAACACTTTCAAATTCTTCACCTTCACATGTATCAACTGATCGAAATGCTTTGTTAAGTCAAATTCAACAAGGGAAAAGATTGAAGCCTACCAAAACTATAGATAAATCGGCACCACTTATTAGTGGTAAGTAATTTGGTAATAAATCTATTGATATTAATTTTATAACTTTTTTTTTTAAAAAAAAAAAGAAAAAATTTTATATTATTAATTATTTTAGGGAAGACATCATCTACAACATCCCAGTCTAACAATAATTCACATGCCAGTTCATCCAATGATTCGCCTTCCAAGTTTGGTTTACCTGGATTGCCGGGATTAGGTGGATTACTAGCGGCAGCCATTCCCAATCTTAAAAGTCGAGATAGTAATAATAATAATGATCGTTCAGTAGTAACAGAAGAAAGAACAATTTCAGAAACTTCTCAACAAAAATCTAAATCTGATCGTAGAGTATCTACAGATTGGTTTGGTAGTTTAGCATCAGATCAACTTGCAGGTGAAGGAACGACAGCTTCACTTGCCATAAGTAATATTAATCAAAATGAAGCAATAAATCAACAACAACAATCTGTTGAAACATCATCACCTATTACTTTGTCAACAGTAGATGATGATATAGATTTTAATCAAGAATTTCGAGTAAAAAGTATTTATCCATATTCCGGTAATAATGGACCGGATGATCTTCAATTTGATATGGGGATCGTTTTCATTGCACATCCATCGAAGAATGAATCAAATCAAGATTGGTGGTATGGAAAAATTGAACAAACCAAATCAAAAGGCTGGTTTCCAAAAACTTATGTAGAACTATATAAAGAAGGTAAGGTTTTTGAAGAAATTCTTGTTATAAATAGGTTAATTTCTTTTATAATTTTATCTTACTTAATAATTTCCTAAGAAATGAAAATGACAATAACTTAAAAATAATAATAATAATAATAATAATAAAATGATATACCTTTTTTTTATAGAAAAAGAAATTTGTAAAGCAAGAGTTCTATTTAAATGGGAGGCACAAAATTCGGAGCAACTTAACATTGAAGAAGGAAATGTTATATCAATCCTTGACAAGGCATTAGGAGATTGGTGGAAGGCAGAATATGAAGGTGCTAAAGGAATTATTCCCGCCAATTATGTCGAAGAAATTACTAGTAGTAGCGGTTAGTGTTTGACTTTAATACTGTTATATTTATTTATTAGATATATTATTATTATTATTATTATTATTATTATTCACATTATTGTTATGGTAGTTTAGAATATGTGTGTATGTTTTTTTCATCATTTTCATCCCAACATTACCTTTTTGTTTATTATTTCTTTCTTTCTTTTTTTATTTTTATTTTTTTTTAATGAATAAGTATAGAAATAAAAATTGGAATTGTATAATTCAAATAAAATTCAATGTAATAATATTTATATATCTCTCTCTACATACTTATTATTAATTGTTGTTGAATTGGATAAATAATGAAAAATTTTCTTTTATGTTTTCTTTTTTTTTATTCTTTTTACGGATTCTGCTGCATCTGCTACATCTATCTGCTACTACTTCTGTATCTATCTATCTATCTATCAATCAATCTATCTACTGCTGTCCATGCTACTGCTGCTACTGTGCTTGCTGCTGCTACTACAAAGTCCAAAAAAACAAAGCAGATGAAGGTGAGTCAAGTGAAGAAGATAATGAAGATGATGAAGAAGATGAAGAAAATGGTGATGATTATGATGAGGATGAAGATGATAAAGTAGAAAAAAAAGATGATGATCAAGAATATTCATATGATATAGCATTTTCAGAACCGATAGAAATACCAAGATTCAATATTCAATCAGAACAATCACCTAAAAGATTAGATTTTAGAAAATCGACAATATCAACAATATCTTCCACAAATTCATTAACATCAACATTATTAACAGCTGATGTTAATAATCTTAATCTTATTTCACCTTCACCTTCACCTTCACCTTCTGCAAGTGATTCTTCAACAATAACAACAGAACATGTTAGAAGTCCAAGTCCTACTAGATTATTTGGGACTAGTCCAATAACGACAGTATTTTGGATGCAATTAGGAGGAGGATTTAAAAGAGATCGTAAAAATTCTGCTGATTCTTCATCCACTCAAAATACTCAAAATACTCAAAATACTCAAAATAATAATTCAACACTTGCAAGGCCAAGACCTGATAGTCCACTTTCTGTATATTCAATAGGACAAGTATGAAATTCATTTATTCTAGGAAAATATATTTATATAATTCTTATTTACAATAGATATAATAATGATATTCTTCTTCACCTTTTTTTATCATTATTAAACTAAAGGGAGGACCATCAGCATCAACATCAACCTGGACATCAATAATAAATTCCGCATTAATAGAGAATCTAAGTAAAGAAGAACGTAAACGACAAGAATCTATATACGAATTAATATACACAGAACATACATATTGTCGAGATTTAGAAATGATAATAGATGTATTTCAAAGACCAATGCAAGAATATTTAACAAAAAAAGAATTAAATTTAGTATTTTCTAATATTTATGATTTATTATTATGTAATCTGGTAATTTTAAGTGAATTGGAACAAAGACAAAAACAAGATGAATTTCTATTAGATAACGTAGGGGACATATTGATAAAACATGTTAATGAATTAAGATTATATAAAACTTATTGTGGAAATCAATTGAATGCTATTAATTTCTTACAAAAGAAAATTAATGAAGATAAAAAATTTTATGATTTCTTAAAGGTGAGTCACTCTACATTATTATATTATATTATATTATTATTTTTTATTATGAATATTATGTACTCACTTTTTGGATTATAAATATTACAAAATATTATAAACAACATAAATAATTATGAATATATAAACAATTTAAATAATTATGAATATTATAAACATTATAAATAGAAATGTCAACAAGATTCCAGATGTGGGTCACTAGATTTATCTAGTTTTTTATTGAAACCATTACAAAGAATAACTAGATATCCTTTATTGATAAGACAGGTATTAACCTCTATCTATTTATTATTCTCTATTCATTATTTATTATTTCCTATCTATTCATTATTCATTATTTTCTATTAATTACTCTCTAGATATTACATTATACTAGTAAAGATAATGAAGATCATAAAAATTTGATGGAAGCACTTCATAAAGCAGAAGAAATTTTAGAAGAAACTAATGAAGCGGCAAGAGAGCAAGAAAATGAAATTAAGTTAGCAGAAATATCAAAGTTGATAGATTTAGAAACTTTAGAGGAGGTATTTATAATTATATTATTATACTATATCTATATAATAAATTTATGATATTTACATACATATTTATTTTATTATATCTATATCACATATTTATAACAATAAGAAACTTTACTTAAACAGTATGACAAGATTGGTTGGGAAAAGGCAATTCATTCTTGAGGGATCATTAAAAAAAGTAAAAAGTGGAAGAAACTTATATGGATATCTTTTCAATGATATATTAATTCTCTGTCAACAAGTCAAAAAATCTACAAGCAAAGGTTACAAATATTCATTATATAAACCAGTAATTATAATAATATTTTAAATGATGATAATAATAATAATATTTAATTTATGACTATTTTAAGATTATTAATATATATTTTTTATTTGATATATATTATTATATATATATATATATATATATAGCCAATACCTTTAAATGAAATACTTATAAAAGATATAGGACCAAGTAAGATTAATAATTATGTTTATTTGTTGATCATACATTAATTGTATATTATGTGTTGCTTACTTATAAATAGGTGAAGATTGCTTTCAAGTGATTCACATACAAGATATAATAAAATTAAGAGCTCCTAGTGTTTCAGTAAAAAGACAATGGGTTAATCAACTAGATACTGCTAGTGGATATTGTCTTTCTGTGGAAAGAACAAATCAAGCAGGAGGTATTTCTATTTCTTTTATTATTCTTCTTATTCTTTTATTACTATTTATTATATTTTGATTGATTTTATTTTTGATTATTTTAATTAGGTAGTGCTCCTGCATCAGTAGATAGTATTAGTGGAACACTTAGAGTTTTGGTATATGAAGGAAAAGTTCCAATAAAAGAATTTGAACATGGTAAGTATTGTTCTAATTTATATCTATATTATTCAATACTTATATTATATTATTTATATTATATTTATATTATATTATATAGACAAATTAAATATTAATTCATATTGTCAAGTACAATTAAATAGACAAATATTTAAAACAAAGAAGATAAAAGATAAAATAGCTCCACATTGGAATCAAGTAAGTTATAAAAAATAATGAATTATTCTATTTATTTTTATCAACATTTCATTATATTATCACTAACTATGTTATTATTATCATTATTATCATTACGTAATCATCGTTATTATTAGTATTTAATGTTTACAGTTATAACATTAGAAGATACATTAAAAGTTTCCTTATTTAATTATGATAAATATTCACGAGATGAATATTTAGGCCAAGCAGAAATTGGATTACATCTTTTAAATTATTATGGAGACAATGAAACTGAACAAATTAGATTACCATTAAAAGATGTTCCACCTGGAAAGACTCCTGGTCATATATGTTTATATTTAAGTTATAAAGCTACTCAATAATTCTACAATTAGATATATTAATTCTTAATTTCATGTATTTTATAATAGTTTATTTATTTATAATTTGTAATTTGTAGTGTAGTATTTGATTCTTGGTAATAGTTAATTAATAGCTAATTAATAGCAATGATTATATAGCTAGATAATAATAGTAATAATAATAATAATAAAGTTTAAATTAGTTAATTAAAGCCAAACTCAGTCAATTCTTGTTCAGCTATTATTTAGTCATATTCTTTATCAAATCATCAAGACTACACTCAGATTACTCAGAACTTATATTATCTGATCTGCTATATCTGTTATTTACATGATATCTCGATGTAAGTATACTTCTTTTTCTTATTTTCATTATTTTATGATTAAACGTCATTTTAATTTGTAACATGAAACTATTTCATGATTAGTAATTGCAATATGAAGTTATTAGTAAAAATGTTATTGTAAATTATATAAAAATGTTATTGTAAATTATATAAAATTGAAACAATAAAATTCGAATTCTAATAAATAATTTTTTCTCTTTATTTTTTTTTTTTATTAAAAAAAAAAAAAAGATTATTTTTGTCAAAGTAAAATTTGCATATTGTCTTCTTTACATCTAAAGAAATAGAGATATATAAAATATATTCAGTAAAAATCGTAGTAAAAAATGAAGATTAAACAAATCAAGCCAGAAGACCGTAAAAAACGGTCGGCTATGAAAGAGAATGATCCGGTATAATTATTAATCTTTTACTATTATAATTACTATTATAATTGTCACTATTATAATTATTATTATTACTATAATTATTATTATAATTGTTACTATTATAATTATTATTATTATAATTATTACCATTATAATTATTAATTATTTAAATTCACATAAAATTATTATAATTATAATAAAGGCTCGAGCGTGGAATTTAAATTGGACAACTCCTTGGTGTGAAGAAGAAGAAGAAATAGTTATAATTTGGAATTCAGAAGATATAAGAATCGCTCAACAACCTTCATTAACTTCATATTCTTCATTTACTTCTTGGTCACCTACATTAAGTAGTAGTGGTGGTGGTGATGGTAGAGGATTAGGATTAGAAAGAAGAGGAAATTCAATATTAAGATATAAACTTGAAAGTAATAGTAATGATAGTAGAAATGATAATAATATTTGGGGTGGTGGTTATGAATTAAATAATAAATTAAATGATAATATTATTAATATTAATGATGTAAAGAATGTAAAGAATTTGAAAGAAAACGAAATTAGAATATCAACTAATAATAATAACACTAATAATAATAATAATAATAATAATAATAATAATAATATCATCAATATTTCTAATAATAATACAAATAATACTTATGATGATTATAATAATAATTACGAAAGCGATTTTCCTTCATTAGAGACAATATCATCATCATCAGTAACTATTAAAGCTAAAACTGATTCAAGTTTTGCTACTAGTGACGAACAACAAGAAGTTAAAATGATGCAAGCAGCTAAAGCAAAATCTGTTGAAGTTGTTAATGATTGGTGGAATCGAAATGAGAAAGCTATGAATCAAGAGAAGAATAATGTCGTCGTCGGAATTATTGATAGCGATCAACCACAAATATCACAAAAAATTAAAATTCAACCTTTACAACCATCATCATCAAAATTTAATAAAGAATTGAAATCATCTAAAATAATCGACAAAGGATCTAAAGAAATTCCGGTCCTTGAATTGATTGTGGATGAAAATAATAGTAATGTGAATAAGGTATTTGTTTTTATTTTTTTTGTCTATTTTTTCGTTCATTTTTATTTAATTTTTTTATTTAATTTAATTTTTTTATTTTAGACTTGGAGATGGGAAAAAACCACGTAAGTAAATATGATATTATATTGTTAAAAATATAGTTGATATAGTCAATAATAATGTTTATAATGTTTTATTTTCAAGATTACAAGACAAAACTTTAGAAAAGAAAAAACAAAAATTAATAGTTATAGAAGAATTCGATAGCTTGATTAATAAAAATGGTAATAAGGAAATTCAAAATACAACGAAAACTGATACTATAATAAATATTCCTACCACTAAACAACAAAAAATCTCGAGATTTCAAGAAGAACTTGAAAGTATTGATTGGGGAAAATGGAGAGAAATGGAAAAAAGTAATAAAGTTAACGTTAGCAATAACCTTGATAACATTAATATTAACAATAATAATGTTAGCAAAAATGATGGTAACAATAATAATAATAATAATAATAATAATAATAATAATAATAATAATAATAATAACGTTAATGTTAATTGTAACAACAGTAACAATAGTAACAATAATAATAAATATATTATGGATAATAACGAAGAGAATGAGTTATTAATTCAATTAAATACTCCTCCTCTTCCTCTTTCGTCATCATCCAATAACAAAGATTATTTTAATAAAGATGTTGGGTATGTCATTTATTTATTTATTGTAATTTATAATAATTTATAATTATTTTTATTATAATTTATAATAATTTATAATTATTGTATTATATATATATATATGAAAAGTAGTGAAATATCCAACAAAAACTTGGAATCAGAATCGATAAAATTAATTAATGACCAAAAAGAAAAACCTCTTCTTCTCATAAATCTCATCAATTTAGATGAGGATGATATCATTTATTCAACAAAATTATCTTCTCCGTTAATAACATCAATCAATAATTCTTCAAATAATTATATCAAAAATGATTTGAAGGAAATAATGAGCCAAGAAAAACAAGTAAAACGAGATAATCAGGAAAACTATGAAACACAAGACAAGCGTGACAAACAAGATTATGAAATGAATTTCTTTGATGATTTATTAAATATTAATAATGGATCAGTAAACAACAACAACAATAATAATAATAATAATAATAATAATAAGAAAGTGAGTTTTACTTTATAAATAACTGGTGATAAGTTTTAATTATTTATTTTTATTATCTCACATCTTTTTTCCTCATAAATTAGCTAAACTTTGATATCGATTTGCAAGATTTTGATCCGTTAATAAAGTAAATTTATAATTAGGAATAATTATTATCAGTTATTTCTTTTGATTTGATTTTATGAATAAATAAATATTAATTATCAGTTAGTGAATATTTCGATTGCATGATTTTATGATTTATCATTTGTAACCGCCAGAATTGAAATAAATAGGCTTAAAAAAGATAATCCAATGACAAAACCACAATCACATATACTTTTCTTAGAGAGCCGATCTCAAAAATTAAAGGTCATATATACATAACTTTATGTAATAGAAATGTTTTTTACTTGAATTTAATCATTATGTATACTTACATGCTAATTTTTTTAAGTTATTACAATTTAACTGGTAATTTATTTCGTTGTATGAAAATTTTCAAAGCTTAAACAACTTTAATACTATTTTAATAGAAAAGCCACAATATTTTCTTAATATTTCATATGTAAAAATGTCGTCTTACTATAACTTTTTTGAAACAGCCGATTCGTTTTTTTTTTTAAAAGATAGAGCTAAACTGAATAAAAATTTACGCGACGGATCTTGTCAATAGCGGATTCTATTATTATGAGTTGGGATATGTTTAAATTTCAATTTTAGTAGTGATCACTATCATAAGTTGTCCCATATCGGTCGGTTTAACCAAATAAAGAAATAATACCCTTGTGCTTCAGGTTTTCATGTGATTTCAGTTCCATTTTTTTAATGAAAAAGTTACAGTAAGGTGAATAAATAAATACACGCGTTCTTAAATATTATTTATATGAAAGTTTTCTACAAATTCGCGAAAAAAAAAATAAAGTTAAAATAAAATTTTTACATTAACATGAAGTAAAATCTCTCTTTTGAATTTCAAATTTGAATAAATTTGATTTAAATACATCATAAATATATACTAATGCTTGGCAGCACATCGATTACAAGCATTAATTAAAGATCTGCAATAAAATAATCCGTGAATGGAATGATCTACTTTATCTTTTTTTGATTTTGATTTTTTTTTGATTTTTATAATATATTTTTTTGCGTTAGTAGTGTTCCGTAACTCGAAACTTTAAAAAATAATACAAAAATAAATAAATAGTAAATAAATATAAATTAACCCAACTCATTTTCTTTTTCTTTTATCCTGAAAAAAAAAATAATAATAAAATTAATTAAATTGTAAAAAAAAAAAAAAAATTCAAAAAAAAATTTTTAAAAAAAATGGCAACCATTCCTCCAGAAAAACAAGAAATTTATAAAAAAGATTTAGAATTTTCTAAAACATTACATGATCATGAAAGCAATCGTTCAGGATTAATTTCATCTTTTTACTCTAAAGATAAAGAAGCATTTGAATATGCAGTTGATAATTATGTTAATTATTGGACTGATAAAGACCCAATAAATGAAACTGAAGAAGAGAAACTAAAAAGATATGATACCGATTTAACTAATGCTTATTATAATATTGCTACGGATTTTTATGAGGTTTGTTTTACTTGTATAATTATGTTATATTGCTATTATTCTAATAATTATGTTATATTATTTATTATAATTTCTTGTTATTCTTGTTATTAATTATTTTTATATTTATATCATTATTAGTATGGGTGGGGTGAATGTTTCCATTTCTGTCGTTTTTATCCTGGCGAAAATTTTTACCAAGCCATTGCAAGACATGAACATTATTTGGCCAGTTATTTGAATGTAAAACCGGGTATGCAAGTATTAGATATTGGTTGTGGAGTTGGTATGTATTTATTTCCTTTTCCTTCTTCTTCTACGTGACAAATTGATAAATATTGATTATTATTGACAAATATTATAAATCTTTTTTTTTTTTTTGAAAATAGGTGGACCTGCACGTGAAATTGCACATTTTACTGGTGCCCATATTACGGGTCTCAATAATAACGATTATCAAATTTCTCGCGCTATTAAATCTAGTGTTAAATGTGGACTTGGAAATGATACTTCATTTGTTAAGGGTAATTTCTTGGAAATACCTTTTAAAGAAAATACTTATGATGCAATTTATGCTATTGAAGCTACTTGTCATTCTCCAAAATTATCAAGTGTTTACGCTGAAGCATTTCGGGTATTGAAACCAGGAGGAAAATTTGCTTTTTATGAATGGTGTTTAACTGATAAATATGATTCTACTAATTCTGAACATAGAAGAATTGTTCGTGGAATTGAGGTAAAATTTAAACTTATCATTCGGCATCATCATCATCACCATTTTATTTACTTTCTTCTCATAATCACCTAACATTTAATTTAACATTTTTTTTTTAGTATGCGGATGGTATTCCTGAACTTTTCAGTACAAAAGTTGCCGAACAAGCATTAAAAGATGTTGGATTTGAAGTAGAAGTGACCAGTGATTTGGCTGATAATAATGATTGTGTTCCATGGTATTATCCTCTTGAAGGTAATCTTAGCAATGCACAAACGTTTTGGGATTATTTTACCGTATTTCGTATGACCGGATTTGGAAAGTTTTGTACTCGTTCTTTGGTAAGTAATAATAATTTATTCAACTTTTTTAATTACAAACCATATTTTTAATTTTATTAATTAAAATTTCATTTCATTAATCAATAATAAAGGTCTGGTCACTTGAAACATTTGGAATTATACCACCTGGTTCTCTTCAAACTCAATATGTCTTGGAGACAGCTGGCGATTGTCTTGTAGAAGGAGGAAGATTAGGATTATTTACTCCAATGTTTTTGATGGTTGGAAAGAAACCACTTAATAATTGATTTTATTTATTATTTTATTTATTATTTACTTATTACATTAAGTATAGAAGAAAAATTATTTTACGCATTTATTCTTTCATGAAATAATATGTATTTTCTTAAAAAAAAAGATTTAATTTAATAACAATCCAAGAAAGCTGAAATAATAAATAAAAGTTTGTGATTCATTAATTTATTGTACTCAAAGAAAATTATTACTAAATTTTCGCTCATGACTCTTGGCTGAACTACTAAGTAATTTCAACTTTACCACAAAGTAGCAATTATTTTTTTTTGGGATAACAAATCAGATCAGAAAAATATTATCGGATAGTATATCTTCACAGATGGAATTATGCTGAATAAAGGAAATAACATGACAGCAGATAATTTATCTTTGACTATACTAATGACATGTTAATGAAATCTAGTGAAATTTTTACATTTAGTCGATTACCACAGAATTTGTCTTTGCGGATCTTGTTCATTGAATTTCCAAATATCAAGGGAACCATGCACAGTCCAACAGAATTCTTTCATTCTATCATTCTGTTTTGTAGAATTATTAATTTTTTCATTCTATCACTCCATTGAATTCTGAATCTAATTAAAATCAAAATTTTTATGTATCAAAATTTATTTAATCAAAATTACATTTGCAAATATTATATGAAAAATTATTTTTTATTCTACTATCCCATGTCAAAATAAAGATAAATCAAGAAAGACATTCCTTTATCTCATTGTTTGTTACTATAATCAACTATCAATAATCCGGTACCGAAATTTAAATTAACACGACAATTCAAGATGTTATTATTTTTTTTTAACGACTAACGAAATTTATAAATGACAACCATAAAAATAAAAAATTGGCTAAGATAAAATCGATTCGCCGCACCTAAAAGGAAATCCATATAAACACATTGGAAAATTTTGTTTTAGCAGCTTAATAATAATATTAAGGGTTTTTTTTGTAGATTGGTTTTCCTTTCGTGAATAAAAGAAAAATTACTTGTATCAATATTCGAGAACGCGCTTTTTTTAATAGAAAATATACATATATATTATCATTCATGGCATATCGAAGCTTCCGAATATATTTTTAGAATTAAAGTTTTAACAGAAATACATATTAAGAAACATGAAAAAAAATAAATTTTAAAAGATTATTAGTAAAATTAGTCATAAAAGTTATTTCATTTTAATAACGATTATTTTATATATAAAGAACTTTATTCCAGAAATTCAATATTGGTCTCAAAAGGATCTTAATAATAAGTAGTTTGAGATTAGAGTATAATATTCAAAAGTTAACAACTCAATAAATATAAATTAAACGGTTACAAAACTTTGAAAATTTGAAGGTCAAAAAGGCCTATTTAAATTTTGAACTATGGTTAAATATGCGATACTGAAGACTTGAAAATTGCTTACACAAGAATTTTGATTAATTTGTTATCGTATGAGTAAAGTGTAGTTTTTTTTTTCTCACGAAACAATATGTATTTTTCTTGAAAAAAAGAAAAGAAGTTAAAATCTATTAATAATATTCCGAACAAAGCTATCTTTAAGTGAGATTTCAGGGAATAAATTATTCTAGCGTAAAATAAATACTCTAAATACCCTAAATACTCGATCTAAAAAGGGTTTTTTTCGTTTGGTAAACAATGCGAATGGTTATAATCTTCTTTGTTTACTTTAATATATGTTGTTCCATTTTATTTTTTCGTGTAGTAATTCATGAGCGATTGGGGTTTAATCGAGTTAGTTAGGTAATTTACGCTTTAATTCTAGGAAAAAAAAAGAAATAATTATAGTAACCATTTTTCGCGAATAACAGTAATTACAATATATATGAAGAATTTCGGTATCATTTTTTTTTAACTTAATTTAAAGAACGAGGTAAACGATATCAGAAATATTTAATCGTATACGATCAATGCCATGGCGCGGATCAGATATTTATATTTATACAAATAAATTCTCTAAATACATATATTATATATATATGTATGATTAATAAGATTTACGTTTTACGGAATTACAAATCACAGGAGCCGGACAACAAGTTGTTACATCTTTAGCATTTTTTCTTTTGTTATTTTACTCAGCAATTATTGCAGATCAACATTTTGGAAGATATATAACGATTATAATATTTTTCTGTTTATTTATATGTTTGGATTGCTCCAAAAATTATGTAGATTATTGGATTTTTGGGTGATCAATATACCACATGTGAAAAGAATTGAAGCAAGTAATTATTGATTCAAAATTAACAATATTTCACCGTTTTATTTATTTATAAATATTGGATCACTTTCTTCATTAATTAATATAAATTTTGAAAAAATATCATTCATTTTATTTAATTCCATTACCAACTTTAATAATTGGTAATAAATATTCTATTCAAATGCGTTTTAGGGATTGCATTTATTAATAATCGAAATTTGGAGAATGCTAAACTGCAAAAATTATTATTATAACAAAATGAAACTGGAGATAATTTACAAGGAGTCACTTAGTCACTTGGAATGATGAAAGTCATTATCAAGTATTCATTATTCATTATATTTATTACATTTATTATATTTATTTTACATACAATAGTTTTTGCTGGATTAAAATATGCATTGATAAGGTATTTGTAATAAGTTTTACCTAATAATAATTATGTAAAAATATTATTATGTTAATTAAATTATACTAATAATATAATAAAAATAAATATCTTTAAAATCTTTATGACCACTAGTTAGTTCTTTTAGTGCATTATCCTATCTCTATTATATTAATATTGTTATATATTTCATTTCTTATAATAGCAATAATACCACTTTCAAAAGATTCTTATTTAGTTTATAAGTATATAGCATTAGGTGGAAGTTCTTTTGTTTCCGTATGTTTATTATTATATTTCTTTAAAAAATTTGATCATGAAGAAAAAGAAAAGGAAAGAAAAGAAAGACAAAAAGAAATTATAAGTATATATATATATATATATATATATATATATATAAATTTAATATCTTCAATTCAATATAAATATATATTTAATACAATTATTCAATACAAATATCATTATCTGTCATTAATCTATAAACTCTTAAAAAATCATCACTGTTAATATTATTATTATCATTACCACTATTCAAATAGTTCCCACTCAAAGAATTCCTACTCAAGGTTTTTCTATTAGTATTCTTATCCAAAGCATTCCTAAAAGCATCATAAATAGGTGCAAAAGTTTTAGAATTGGGTTTAATTCCGTGTTCTTGAAATTTCTCAATAATCATTAAAGCCAATTTAGGTTTATGTAGTTTTTTACAAATTAAATTTACCAAACCATTAAAAGTTTCAACATTTAAAGGAATTTCTATTTTTGACATATGATGAAATACCAATAAAGCTTCATTAATATGTGAATCTATTAATAATCTAAAAATTAAATGAGTATACATATAACTACGAATTTCTTCTGGTGATGACATTTTATGAAAATCTGTTAATGTTATTAATTCGAGATCATGATAAAATGGTCTTGATTGTAATTGTTGTTGTTGTTGCCCAAATTTCCAATTTAATTTTAATTTCATTCCAAATAAATTTAATGAAGAAGAAGAAGGTGATGAATTTAAAGATGATAAATTCAATACAGAATTCAAGGATGAATTATTTTTTAAGAAAGTTAAAATAGAAATTCTAGCACATAAAAAAGTTCCAATTCCAAATCCAGTAATTATTACTTTGTTAATTTCTTCCATCATCATTGGTTCAAATAATATTAAATCTAAATCTTGACCTAAAACTATATAACTTATTGCTATACATTTAGCCAGAAACATTCCAATTCCTAAATTTCTCATTTTATATAACCAATTATTATTATTATTATTATTATTCATAAAATTATTATTATTATTATTCATATTATTATTATCATTATTATTATCATCATCATTATTATTATTAAAAATAATATATTTAGCTGAATCATCTATTATTTCAAATGCTCTATCTAAATCTAAATTATTTGCACAACATATTAATAATGCTTTATAAGTAAAAGCATTAGGTTTAGGAATATTATAATTATTCATATTATTATAATGATAATAATTATTCATTTGTTTCATTTGATTATAAATATTAAATGCTAAATCTAATCTCTTGGCACTTCCATATACTTTAATATAAACATTATAAATAGTGGTGGATCTCATTTTTGGATGTATAGATTCAAATATTTCTTGAGCAACTTTTAATACTTCTTCAACCGTATAAGGTGAATATTCTGGTGTATCAATCCAATATTTTGATAATTCATTATTAATATTATTAATATTATTGTTATTATTATTATTATTATTATTATTATTATTATTATTATTATTATTATTATTATTATTTAGAACTGGTAATAATTTTGATGATGATGATAATAATTGTGATGTATTTTTATTACAAAGAGATATTAATCTTCCACATGCTTTTAATGCAGCTATAATATCTGGTTCTTTAGGTGTATGGAATTTATAAAAAAGAAGATTCACTGCACATTTAAGTTGTTCTATATTTCCACAATTCTGAAAATATTGAAGTAAATAATTAGAATTTGTTTTATATGTATTCTTGATTATCATATTAAATATATTTGAAGATATGTTATTTGAAGATAAATTGGTGAACATATTAGGGGATATTATATTCGTATTAGTGATGACGTTGGATTGTAAAAAACTATCAATAAATGAAAATCTCGTTATCACATTTGTTTCAAAACAGCGTCGTCTCAAAATAAAATCAAATTTAAATTCATTTTTTGATATATTCTGGATTTTGATTGTTCTGATTGATTTGTTGAGAAAAATCATTTTTATTTTTATTATGTGAGAAAAAAAAAATTGAGGAATTCAAAAATTTATGTAAAAAATTGTACAACTGATCCGCATCAATTTTATACTATATTAATAAATTAAATTAATAACAAATAATACAAATAACAATAACGAAACGATATAATTAATAATCCATCATTAATAAATTCTCAACTTCATCAACAGTTCTAGCCAAAATAGTTGCTGGAAATTCATATTTATTCTTGGGATCTTTAATGGCATCACTTATTCTTTTATATGTATCAACAAACATTTTACTTACTCTATAATTAACTTTTTTAACTAATTGAGTAGGATTTCCTTGTAATTTAAATGTGTCATCACCATTATCAGCTAATGATAAAAATGAATCTAATCTTGCCATTACATTGGTTAATGATTTTGTATCCATGTTTTGAATTAATGATAATGGTATCTAAATATTATTATAATAAATAATATAATAATAATAATAATAATAATAAATAAATAAATAAATAAATTAATAAATACATAAATAAAATAATTAATATAATATTAAATAATTAAATAACTTACATTTTCTTCTTTGGTTTCCATAACTTGAATTATCGGTTCTAATCCTGAATGTTGTAAAAGTTTTTCATACTAAAAAAAAATAATAATAATATATTTGTTATTTATAATAATAATAATTTTATTCTTCATAATAAATGTTATCATAATTTACCTGAAAATCTACTAATATTTCCATATTTTCTTCAATTTGTCTACCAATTTCAATAACTCTTCCATGAGTAAATGAATATTTTGATAAGGATGACTATATTTAAATTAATTATATTTAATTAATTATATTTATATATAACTATATTACATTAATTATATTATATTATATTATATTAATTATATTATATAAATTCTTACTTGTACATAATAAAGACAGTTACTCATATAAATAGCTTTATTAAATTTTGACAAATCTTTTGCACCCAATTCACACATTTGAAATAGAGGATCCAATATAGCATCTAATACAGCACGAAAATCATGTTCACGTTCTGCAACTGTAACTAATGATGTTTCATATGATGCCATTATTTCATTCTACAAATATTATTATTATTATTATTATTATTATCATTATTATTATTATAAAATTAATTATTAAATATATGAATAAATAATAAAATAAATTTACCAATTGTAATACAGTATCTTTCACTGCAGGTGGTGATGTCAAATCTGGAGCCGGACTCTAATTTTTAAAGAAATTTCTTTAATTAATAAATAAATAAATTGAGTGGAATGAATCAAATTTGATATATAATAGATATAATATGGATTAATTAACTTGTATATATCGTAGTAATTGTTCAGCTTGACTATTTAGTGTATTGAAAAATACTCTAGATGCTGACTCGGTAATCCTGCAAAAAATAATAAATTCATAATGTTAATAATAAATAATAATAATAAATAATAATAATAATGATAATTTCCAGATCAATAATAGTAATAAATTTTAGATTTACTCTTGAAGTGCAATTGATAAAGAAGCATTAGGTCCCAAAATTCTTGATATAGTAATATTATAGAATTGTATTAAATTCAATATTCTATATGCCGTTATGGCACCTGGGTGAGATCCCAAGACTTGTTCAACACGTGTCTTAAATTAAAAATTAAATTAATATTAAAAAATTAAATTAAAAATTCATTCATTATGTAAAGTAAAATTACCTTTAATGGACGACATGTTCCATCTAAATCTCGATCTAATAAATCCTGAATTATTATATCATCACTTTCCCTTGTTATATCTTCTTCTTCTTCTTCTTCTTCTTCACCTCCTTCTTCTTCATATGGAGAACGCATTTTATAAATAGTAGATATAAATAGTGGATATAAATAGTAAATGAAATGGTAAATAAATAAAAATATAATAAATAATAGTAAATAATAGTAAATAATATTAATGTTTATAATAAAGACTAACTTTTTGGTTCAAATAATCCTTCTAAATATTCTTTTTCACTAGCAACATTTTGATGTACCCAAGCTAACATATCACCTACATAACGTAATGGATCATGAGCATGAATTTCTATTGGACGTGGTGTCCCTCCTGGTCCTCCTCTTGTTAATGCTTCCGTAAATGATCGTATTATTGCATTCCTTTTTATGTGAACAAGTTCTTCGAGGCATGATCTTACAAAATAATAAAATTATGATCATTTAATTATTATTGTTATTATTATTATTATTATAAAATATATATAAAAATATAATATAAAATATAATATAAAAATATAATATAAAAATATAATATAAAAATATAATATAAAAATATAATGTAAAAATATAATATAATATAATAAATATTAATTACTGAAATAAAACAGGACGTTGTTTCAATGCTCTCAATGCATGTCTTAATATCGCAGGAACTTCTTGTGTTTCACGAGTTAAAGTTCGAGATTCTGTTTGAGTCCAACGATATAATTTATCAAATGCTGTTTCCTGTATTGAATTCATTCTTTCCATAATTTCCAATCTAATTAAAATAAAATGATAATAAAATGGATATTAAAATATTAATAAATAATAATATTAAAATATTAAAATATTAAAATATTATATTTAAAGTTACCCAGCTCTTTGATTTTCGGTAATTAATAAAGATTCACAATCTCCATGAATTTGTTGTAAATGTTTTAAAGCACGAAAAAATTCTGGACAAATTTCTGATTCAGAAGATGATAATATTGAAACTTCTTTTTCGGAAAGTGTAAATCTTTCTAAAAACGCGTCAATTAAAACTTTACGCGTTTTGCATGTTTCCCTAATACATAAAAAATATTAAACATATTTATAAAATTTATTTATATTATTTATGTTAATCACGTTACTTATATTTATACCTTTGTGATTTCAAAATATCGCTTTGTTCTAACAATAATGCAGTTTGCCGATTTGCCGATTCAAGACTTTGGGTAATTTCATCACAAAAAGTATTCATTTCTTTTATTTCTGATTCGATTACTGTTAATTGCTGACAATAAATTATGTTTATATTTATTTATTTTATATATATATATATATATACGATTTTTATATTTAATTTAATTTTTAATTTTTTATTTATTTAAATTTTTTTTTTGTTTTACCTCATTAACTTTTCCAAAAATTTCCAAAAAGTTTAAACTAGCTTCAATTGCTTTTCGTTCAATATTTCCTCTCAAATTTCTCCTTTGAGTTACTGAATTCACATTATAAATTTCCGAAAGTGCTTCTAATGCTGATTTTGTTTTAATATCATCAATTGGATTAATTAAAATTTTTAAAACTTTTTGTGATATCGGATTATTATTATTATTATTATTATTATTATTATCTTCAGTTAATTGTCCTCCTGAAGGAGTGGTTGGCGTTCTCACATTATAATCACTCGAAGTACGAATTATTAATGGTTCTGGAGTCATCATCATTATTATTATTATTTGAAAATTTATTATTGAGTTTTTTTTTTTTTTTTTTTATAATACATGCATCACAGCGATCGCATTATTCTACGTATCTGTCTGCTTTAAGGAATTTGAAAATCTAATCTGACTGATAATAGTTATAATATATATTTTAATAATAATAAATACTTATAATATTTTTTTTTTTTTAAAGAAGATAATAGAACTGATGATTTTTATTGTTATTACGTACATTTGTTGTTGTTGACAGGTTCGAGGATTTTTCCATGTGGAAAAAGTTCCCCCCTAACATTATTATTTATTATAGATTATTATATTAATTTCTAATTGGATGTCTATATTAAAATTATATATATTTTAATAAATATCTATTGATTTGTACTTTTATGTCGAAGATTTTCGATCGAAGTTCGAGATAGAACATCACATCATCGCCCTTACATATTTATGTTCATTATATAATATATAAATATTTTAAAAAATTCACCAATAAAATATTAATCAATAATGCACGTTCTGCATATTTCCCTGGGGGGGGTTTTAATAATAATAATAATAATAATAATTTTAAAACACACGCGCGTAAGGTTTTTATTTTTATAACAAATAAATAAAAGTCTCTAGGATTGGTTTATGAAAATTGTAATATAAAAGTAAAAATTGAAATTGAAAAACGAAATAAATAAATAAATAAATAAATAAAAAATACTGCATAGAAAATAAATAAATAAAATAATATACAGTATGAAAGATAATATTATTAACTATATATATATGACAGATAATATAATATTATAAAAATAGTTAAAGTAAAAAATATTTTACAATAGAAGAAAACTATTTATTATTGATGATGATGATTTGATGTAAATTGTAATAATAATTAATGTAATAATAATTAATGTAATAATAAAATTGTAAATAATAAATTGTAATAATAAATTTGTAATAATGAATTTTTTTTTGAAATTTTTTCTTTATACTAAACCATCATACAAACTTAAAGCTTGAACAATTGTAGGATCTTGTTTTGATCCTTCTTTAAATTCATCCATACTAAGTTTACCGTCATGATTCTAAAATATTAAAATAATAATAATAATAATAAATAAATAAATAAATTAATAAATTTGACAGAATAAAAAAAATTAACATGAAAAAAAAAAGAGAAAAATATGAACTTACTTTATCCATTAACGTAAATATTTTATTAACTCGTTTTTGAGGTGTATCTTCATCAGAAGGTAAATTAACCATACTACCAACCATTTTATAAATTGCATCCACAATTCTTAACATTTCTTCTTGCGTTATAAATCCATCATTGTCTATATCGTATAATTGAAATGCCCCTAAAGAAATATATTAAAAAGATTAAATAAATAAATAAATAAATAAATAAAAAAAAATTAAATAAATAAAAATAAATAAATAATCCATAATAAATAATTATAATTACATAATAATTTTTCGTCCAATTTTCCTCTAGACGTAACTGAAAGTGCACATATAAATTCTTTGAAATCAATTTTTCCATTTTTATTTTCGTCAAATACATCAAAGACAAATTCAGCAAACCGAGAAGGATCTCCAAATGGGAAAAACTGTTTATATATTTTTTGAAACTCTGGTTTATCAAGTTCACCAGATGGACAATCTTTTAAAAATCCTTTATACCTAAAATAAAATAATAATAAAAAAAAATAAGTTTTTTATTGATGATATATTATAAAATTTTAAAGGATCTTATGATCTCATACCATTGTTGAAGTTCGTTCTTGTTAACTATGTCAAAGTTTAGAGAAATTTAATAATAGAAATTTATGGATAAATTTATAGTGAAATTGTAAAAGAAATATGGTAGATAATAAATCGTAAGAACAAAATATTATTATTAATTAAAAAAAAAAAAAAAATACTTTAATAAAATTCAAAGATTAAAAGGACATACAATAAGTGCATTTTTGCAACTCCTTAAGTTGTTCTTCACTGAGTTTACTATTGGATTTACCCATTTTATTATTTTAATTATTTTTATTTAGAAAGAAAAGATATTTTAAGAAAGTGTTCAAGTTTTGATAAGAATTTCTATTAAAGATTTTTTTTTTTTTATTACAAATTTTTTTTTTTTTGTTGTAAAAAATTTTCAATTAAAGAAGTGGAAAAGAATTTTTTGACTTTTATAAGCAAAAACCCGACAATCGATAATCCAATCAAAATTCTCCGAATAAAATTTAAAATGATGCACTCACAAAAATTCACATATTTCCATTGGAATCTTCTCTAGGGAAATTCCATAAAACTGTAAGTACAGCCCATGGGTTTTCCCGTATCGTCATAAAGAATTAATGAAGTATATAATTATGGAATACAATTAAATATTTAACATACATTATAAGTAATCTCATATTTTATTTCTATTTTTACATTTATGTTTTCATATATTTTTTTTTTGTAGCTCAACTTAATCTTTTCTCTTTTTTATTTGAATAATCTAAATCTATATTATAAATAAATAAATATAATTAAAATGAATAATACTTTATTATACTTTTTATTTAATACTTTACCCGTTATTATTATTATTATTATACAATTACAAAATACGCAATATAAGACAATCATTCTTTGTTATCATAAATGGAAACTTTTAGAAATTCTAAAAATTTTTTTTTTTGAAAAAAAAAAAAACGTTTCTCCATGTTTTTTTTTTCTATCAATATTCTCGTGTTCGTGTATCATACCAATTTGTTTATAATTACTTTTTATATTTATATATGAACGAATGGTTTATGTCATATTATGTAATTTGTACATTATTTTGTATAATTTTATTTCCAAGAATGCGGTGGAAAAGTTTATAACAGTTTTTCCCAATAGTTAAAATAGTTGAAATAGTTAAAATTGTTAAAATAGTTAAAATGAATGAGGTCATCATTTAAAGAAAGTTGATAATATTAGAGAAAGTAAAGAAATTATATACTAATGGTATTGTAATATACTATAAAAGTATAAAAAAGAATTTCCGAGTGCCATATTATTTATCCACCAAATTTACATTTATATACATCAAAAATGTTTGAACGTGCTGTACATGTGATATTTCTTCTCGAAATCATAATTAATATTAATATTATCATTAATTATTAATTAATTAAAAAAAAATGAATAAAAATATATAATTCAAAAAAAAAAAGACACATGAATTTCACATCTTAATATCAACCAGTACTAGCTATATTCGTAATTTTCTCGGTCACATTTCGTAAATCAACTCCGTTCAATTTATATAAATATGATTTATTTTCCAACAATTTTTATTTTCTATCAAGATTATCAAGACTCAAATAATTCACTTATTTTTTTTTTTTATAATTTAATTTAATTTAAAATATTATTAATACTTTATTTAATTATTTAATTAAAAAAGAAAAGAATCATGATAGAATGTAGTGTTCCAGTTGGTGAAAAAGTAGAAGGCGAAACTCAAGTTCGTCGTTCTGCGTTATCTCCTAATAAACTTGTGTCTACCCCAGCTGAAGGAGTTAACACACTTTATGATCTTTTACAATATAATGTTAAAAATATTGGAACCAAAAAAGCATGCATGGCTTATAGAAATATTGAGTCAATAGTTGAAGAGGAAAAAGAAGTTACTAAAGTTGTAAATGGTCGAGAAATTAAAGAGAAAAAAACTTGGAAATATTTTCAATTATCTGATTTTATATATTTAAATTATGAAGAAGTTTCTGAATTAACAAAGTCAATTGGGGCAGGTTTATATAAATTGGGATTACGGAAAAATAGTAAAGTTGAAATTTTTTCTGCTACGGGGTAAAAAATTTTTTTTCTCTTAATCAATTCACATTTATATATATATATATTTATACTTATATACAGTTTATATATATATATATATTTTTATGATTTTTCAGCTTGAATTGGATGCTTGTAGCACATGGTAATTATTATTATTATTATTATTATAATTATAATGTTGTTAACGTTCTAATGCGTTGATTTATAATATTAATGGTTTATGATTTTTATTAGGATGTTTCACGCAAGGAATGACAATTGTAACTGCCTACGATACTTTAGGAGAAAGTGGTCTCACACATTCAATGAATGAAACTGAAGTAACTGCCATTTTTACAAATGCAGATCTTCTTCCCACGATAAAAATAGTTGCAGGAAAAGTTCCATCTCTCAAACATGTAATTTACGATGGTGAACCAAAAGGAAATATTTTAAAAGAATTAAAAGAATCTTTTCAAAGAATTCAATTTATATCTTTGGATGAACTTAAAGATTTGGGTAGAAAGAATTCCGTTGATCCTAATAAACCAAGTGCTCAAGATTATTGCTGTATTATGTATACATCTGGAAGTACTGGAAATCCAAAGGGCGTTTTGTTAACTCATGCTAATCTTGTGGCAGCAGGTATAAAATGATAATCCTATTAAAAATATATGTATATAATATATATATATATATATAAAATGATTAAATAAATTTTCAATTTTCAATTTTTTTTTTAAAAAAAAAAATAGTCGCTGGTGTTAGTAAAATGCTTCAACATTACCTTATCACGCTTGGCTCAGATGATTGTTTACTTGCTTTCCTCCCTCTTGCTCACGTACTTGAATTCACCGTGGAACACTGTTGCATCTTTTGGGGGGTAACTTTAGGTTATGGTAATATACGTACACTTACTGATGCATCTGTACGTAATTGTTTGGGTGATATTCGAGCATTTAAACCAACTTTATTAGTGGGAGTTCCCGCAGTATGGGAATCTATTAGAAAAGGTGTTTTGGCAAAAGTTAATGCGGGAAGTCCAACATTACAAAAAATATTTTATGCCGCATTTAAAACTAAGGGATGGCTTTTACGTCAAGGTTTACCCGCAGGAATTTTAGATAATGTAGTATTTAATAAAATTAAAGATCAAACTGGTGGTCGTCTAAAATATGCATTGTCAGGTGGAGCTCCTGTATCACCTGAAACTCAAGAATTTTTGACAATTACCGTATGTCCTATTTTACAGGGTTACGGTCTGACTGAAACTTGTGGGTAAGTTATCATTTTATTATAATTTTATTATAATTTTATTATTATTTTATTATTATTCTAATTTATTAATCTTTAATTTATTAAATTATTATAATTTAGAATGTGCGGAATAGCTACACCCGATAATATTAGTTATGGAACGGTTGGCGCACCAGTTCCATGTTTAGAAGTGAAATTAATTGATGAACCAAATGCCAATTACCTTTCCACGAATAAACCATGTCCTCAAGGTGAAATATGGATTCGTGGAAATTGTATAGCTGAAGGTTATTACAAAAATGAAGCATTAACAAAAGAAACATTTACCAAAGATAAATGGTTTCAAACTGGAGATATAGGTGAATGGAGACAAAATGGTTCATTAGCTGTTATTGATAGAAAGAAGAATTTGGTGAAATTATCTAATGGAGAATATATTGCATTGGAAAAACTTGAATCTATTTATAAATCCATTACTTATGTATCAAATATTTGTGTTTACGCTAATTCATTTCAAGCTCGCCCGGTGGCTTTAATAGTTCCATTACATGATAGAATTTTGGAATTTGCTAAAGAAAAAGGACTTGATAATTTAGATGAGGAAGAGTTATACAAAAATAAAGAAATTTGTACGGAAGTTTTAAATGCTTGTACTGCTCAAGCCAAGAAAGCAAATTTGAAACCAGCTGAAATGATATCTGCTATTACTTTATTAACAGATGAGTGGACTACACAAAATGTAAGTTTATTATTCTCTTTGAATATAATTTCAATATTATCCTCCTTTACTTTATTCACTTCTAACAACACTTCCATTTAATACTTTATAATTTTTTTAGGGTCTTTTAACTGCATCACAAAAACTTAAGCGTAAAGATATTCAAGAAAAATATAAAGAAGAAATTGATCGCATGTATGGAATCAAGAAATGATTAAAATAATTATAGTTTTTAATTCTTTGTAATCTGTCATTTTATTTTTCACATTTTTTCTATTATTTATGATATTGTTAAAATTAGAATTTGAAATAAATGCATTATATCAATCAATAAATAGCAAATAAAATTGTCAAATGCTTTTTTAAAATTCTTTGTGAATTTTTTAATATTTTTTTTTTTCTTTGGCAAGACATTTTTATTAATATTTATCTTATTACAGAAAGAAAAAATAATAACTTTAATGGGAAAAAAAAAAAAAAAAAAGTGAATACAGTACAAGTAATTTTGAAAATTATTTAAAAGTTATCTCTTCCCCCAAAAAAAGTGATTTACATAATTCTAATATTACATTCTTATCATGAATATGAAATGTGTGGTCAATGTGTTAAATATTTTTATGTGTGTAGGTTTATATAAATGTTGTGTTATGAGACATTACTACAGATGAAAGGCATGAAAATTGTTGCACGCTTCTGTCAACAGTAATCTATTTATATTTTTAATTATTAATTAAGAAAATTATGAATTAAGAAAATTATTAATTAAGAAAATTATAAAATTAAATAATTAAAGCAAAATGTTTTTTTTTTACATTAAGCAAAATCATTTATACATATTTTTATATATATATATTAAATATAATAAAAAGGTGATTACATTAAATTACATAACCATTTATTACCCAAACTTACCGCGTGAGATTTAACTTGAAAAACTTCATAATCCTCCACAGCAAATTGGGTAGTAGTTGTAATGGTATGTTTATAACAACGTTTTTTAGCTGAACAATTTAAATCTTCATTAAATTGTTTTCTCATATCTAGATCAGTTTTACCAAAACATGGACCAAACGATGGATCATCGTATATTGCTTCCTGACCAGGATTAATTCTACTAAGTTTAGCGTCTTCGATTGAATCACGATTACCGAATGAAAATAAAAAACTTTCTTTAGTATATTTCCATCTTTTAGTTTTAAGACTACGCCAACCTATAGGATTATAACCTCCAATGATCTGACCAGATCCCTTTATTTTTAATATTACAATATTGGGACCTTGATTATCACATTTTTCGTGAAATATTTGAGGAGTAAATCCGTCACGACTTCCTCTTAATAATAATTTAAATTCATAACGAAGTCGAGAAGCTAAAGGAGGCATAGGTGAAGAAGAAGATCGAATTTTTTCAATCCAATCAGGAATTTTGGAAGCTTGTTGTAATTTAATTATTTTACTATCAATCGTTATAATTGAATTTCTAGGGGGTAAAATTGATTTAGGAAGATATTCCAGATTATTTTGAAATTTAGAAATTTCTAATCTCAAATATGAAGGAAGAATATCTTTATAGGGCCAAACTTTATCATAAAATTCTCCAATAGAAAATTCGGAAAATCTAATAAGAGGTATAAGGTCCTTTAAAATATCGCGTAATCTTGAAATATTTTCTGTTGTCCAATTGATAATATCATCTTTATCATTATTATTATTATTATTATTATTATTATTATTGTTTGTATTCTGTGTAATTTCTGAAAATAATTGGGTTTTACCCCATCTAATTATATAATTCCAAGTTTCAGTTTCTTCGATTTGAAGATTATCTTGTCGAAGTATAGAAATCAGAATAGAATCTTCGAAATCCAAGAAATCCGAAGAATTAAAAGCTATTAAAGGGTTCCAACAAATTTTATCCATACAATAATTTTGTAATCTGCGACACGTTTCACGATTAAAAACTGTATGTAAGATGAGGGAAAAATTATTTTCCAACCACTCCGATTTAACATTGATAAGATGATCTTGAATATTTTCAAACATTTCATCGACAATCAATAATTCGTCAATTGCAATTAATAAGTCCAAAATTATTGAGCCATCGTGGTGATTTAGAGATAGATTATTGGTGTACATGTATCTAATTAAAATAAATTTAATAATATTAATTTTTGTAACAAATATATATTAATTAAGCTGTAGATTATTTAATTATGTTGATTTTAATTACTTTAATTCAAAGTATCGTTTTATCGTTCATTTTTATAACTTTATCGTTTATCTGTTATTAACTTTTTATCAAATAATTTTATCATTTATAATTACATACTATTATTATTATTATTATTATTCACATCACATTTATATACAGATATAAATAAAATAAAATATTATAATAATAACATAAAAAAAAACTTACTCTAAAATAATATTAAATACAATCGGAGAAATATTGGGTTTCTTCAAAATAATTTTTCCGTTTTCCTTTTTTGCCCAAGTAGAAGAAAGAGCAATTTTAAAATAAGGAGATTTTTCTATTAAAGTCTTAGAATGTACCAAAAATTTTCTACCATTTGGTTCTTCTCCCGCGTAAATTATAACATCGGAAGTTGATAATAAATAATTTGATCCAAAATTGTCAAAATTTAAGGTCATTATTATTATTATTATTAATTTTTATAAATATGTTCTTATGTTGATATTGAATAAATATTGGATAATATTGGATAATATTGAATAATATATATATATAAAAATATTTCGAAAAAAAAAAAAGCGAGAAGAAAAAAACGATGACACTTATATATTTATTTGTTTATTTATTTATAAATTTTTTATTAATATATATTTGTATATTGATTAACATATTTATCATATTTATCTAAATGTATACATGACGTACATTTATAATAATGGCTGAGGAGGCTTGAAAAATATTAGTTTATTTTATAACTATGTATTTATTTAAGAAAACAAATAATTACTAATACATAAATAACGATAAATAACGGCTAGGTGAATTCCATTCAACGCACATATTTGTTACATTACATAATATGCGTGATATTTTGTTTTGTTTTTTTTTTTTTGAAACGCGAAATTTGTGCTCATTCTCAAAATAGCTAAAAGAATTGTTGCTCTTAATAGTCACGTTAGTTATTCCATTTATCAAATATCTAAATAAATGTTCAAGCAAATATAAACTTAAAATCACATGAATAAATAGATGAATGAATTGTAAATGTATTGAATGCTCGTTATAATTTATTACGCGTCTATACTTGATCTCTGTTTATCATGCATAAAAAAAATAATAATAAAATTATTATTTAAATAATATTTTTTTTTTTTTTTTTTAATTCTTGTTTAGATTCTCGTTTTTTAATTCCAATTTAATTCTAATTTTAATTCCAATCTTAATTCTTATTTTAATTCCAATCTTATTTTAATTCTTATTTTTATTTTTACTTTCATATAATCGAAATTATTCCAATTTTATAATCAAATAGAAAAAAAAAATATGCAAAGTTCAATTCCTGTTACCGTATTTACGGGTTTTCTCGGTGCAGGAAAAACTACAATTATTCTTTCATTATTATCTCGGATTCCTCAAGGTTATAAAATTTGTTTATTAAAAAATGAGTTTGGAGATATTAAAGGTCAATATTATTATTATTGTTGTTGTTATTGTTATTATTATTGTTTTAAATTATTTATCGAAATAAGCTTTTTTTTTTAAAAAAAAAAAATAAAAAAATAGTTGATAGTGAATTAGCTCAAGAGAGCAACTTAGCAGTACAAGAAATGCTTAATGGATGTCTTTGTTGTGTATTAGTTGGACAAATGAAATTAGCTTTATTGGAACTTAAAGGTAAATTTCTATATATATATATATATATTATTATTACAATACTAACGATTTTAATAAATAATGATTTTACTATTAATATATAGAAAAATATAATCCTGATAGAGTTATAATTGAAACAAGGTAAGAAGTAAATTATTTAGTTGAATTCTTATCTTATTATATTATTACATTCTTATATTCTCATATTTATTATAGTGGTTCGGCTTTTCCAGGTTAGTAATAATTATCTATTATTGATTATTATATTATTATAATACTATTAATTTATCTAATTTATCTATTATTATTAATAGCACCCATTGCTTGGCAAATCCGAGAAATGAAAAATGAAGGATTTATATTAGATAGTATTATTACAGTTGTGGATTGTGTAAATTTTCGAGGATATGAAGATACAAGTTATACCGCAAAAATGCAAGCTCAATATACTGATGTGATTTTATTGAATAAACATGAATTGGTAAATTTATTATTTATACTATTTTACTATTTTTACTATTATTATTTACTATTATTATTACTTTTATTATTGTTTAAAATATTAATTTTTGTAATTTTTGTAATTTTTTTTTTGTAATTAATATAAAGGTTAAAGAAAGAGAATTAGATTTAGTAATAGATCATATTAATGATTTGAATACTGACACTCCTAAAATCAAATGTGAAGGAAAACGAGGTGTATCTCTTGATTTGATTTTTGGTATTGATACCAAATTATTTACTTTAACTAATAATAATAATAATAATAATAATAATAATAATAATAATAATAATAATAATAATGATAATGATAATAATATTGATGATAATAATAATGATAATAATATTGATGATAATAATGAATTTTCAGAATTAATTGATCCAAATCATCATCAATCAGAAATAGATTTAATTCAAATTACAAAAGTTATTACTACGCAGCAAACTAGTGAAAATAACTCTTTTACAAAACAAAAATTTGAAAATTTCTTGGAATCGTTACCTAAAGATGAAATTTATAGATTAAAAGGTTTAATAAGACTAATTGATGATAATAACGACAATAATGATGGAAAACTTTATATCGTTAATCATGCATTTGGACGTTACACTCTTACACCAATTCAAAGAACACATAATCTTCCTAGTAAAAATGTTAATATTAAAATTACTATAATGGGTGTTAATTTAAACATTTATTTAAAAAATATAAAAATTGGACTTGAAATTAATGATGAGCATGTCAATGTACATTATGCTCACATTCATTGACTTCCTTTTTTTTAAAAAAAATAAAATCAAATAAAAGTATATTTAGATATCTGATAATTATATAATAAAAAATAATAATGTTGCATTTTTTCCCTTTTGTTATGCATATGTTGTGCCTCGGATCGATGCTTTGCTTCAACTGACAGCAGATGTCACAGATTGACCAGAATTATAACTACGGCCTATATAGATCTTTTTAAATTCAGTTTAACTTTGGCCAGTTTTGATCTGAGGCAAGCATCGATTTGAGGCACGACATATATAAAAATAATAATAATAATAAAAAATAGAAATGAATTTAATAAATTTAAAAAAAGTTCACAAAAAAAAAAATTAGAAATTAATAATAATAATAGAAATTCAATAATTCTAATAAATATAAAAAATATAACAATAATTATATTCGTGAATCATATTCTCGATTACCCTTATTACGTTTCTCTCTATTTTTATCTCTACTACTATATTGATACCGATCTTGATATCGGTCCTGACTTCTATCCCGATATCGATCTTGACTTCTATCTCGATATCGATCTTGACTTCTATCCTGATGATATCGATCTTGACTTCGATGATTACTATTATTATTATTTGGTTTATTATGTTGATTATAATGATGGTGATGATGATGATGATAATGTAATTGTAGTTCATTATTTTTATTTTTATTTGTTATTGTATTATTTGTCGTTGTTACTGTTACATCTTCTTCATTAATTGAATGACGACGGTGATGATGATGACGACGAGGAGGTGATAATTCCGGATTTCGATGATGATTATGTCCATGTTCATGATGACGGCGAGGAGGTGACAATTCCGGATTTCGATGATGACTATGTCCATGTTCATGATGGCGATCAGAATGGTCATGATCACGATAATGGTCACGGTAATACTCCTTAAACTGAAAATTAGATCGATTATTATTATTATTTTTGGTAGAATTAGTATCGGAATAATAGAAATATTTATTATCATCATCTGATTTATTAGTTGACGTCGTTCGCCGACGCCAACAATCATCAAATCGTTGTTCAGACATAATATCTGGCATAGCTTGATTCCCTGTCACATGTCTGAATAAATTAAAAAGAATAAATAAATTAACAAAAATGAATAAATTAAATTAAATTAAATAATTAAATTAAAATTAATTAAGAAACTTACAGAGGTCGTTTAAATGGACGATCTCGTGCACCGAACCGAAGTTGACCTGATTCTTTTCTACCTCCAAATCCACCACCTAATCGTCTTGGAATCCATCCTTCCATAACTCGACCACGTTCATAATCAGTTAGAATTTGACGTTCATCAATTGTCATATTATATGAATTCTAAAATAATAATATTATTATTATTATTTTAAATTAAATTATTAAATTAAATTATTTAATGAAATTAATTATTAAATACCTTGAATGCTTCTTGGCACGCATTTTCCGTATCGAATTCAACGAAAGCATATCCACGTGAATCACCAGTTACTAGAGAGATATATATATATTGATGTATATTTTTTGAAATTGATTAAAGAATTTAGGAGATTTCAATATAATCTCAGTCAGCTTACTAATATTTCGTACAAGCCTTGCACATTTGATTGAACCGAATTGTTCAAATGTTTTTTTTAAAGTTTCTATATATAAAAATATAACAGACATTTTAATATTAATTATTATAAAATTATAGATATTAATTAGAGAAAACAAAAAAAAATAATTTATAATATAAACACCTTCAGTGGTTAATGGATTTAAACGTCCAACAAAAAGTGTCTTTAAAGGATCTTCGGTTAAATTTTCACTTGTAGGTTTAACAACTATATAAATATATATATATATATATATATTAAATCTTGTTAAATTGCTTATGAAATAAATAATAAATATGGCAAACGTAATGTATTACTTACAAACAGAAACTTGAGCTCTGGCAATTGCGTGGTCGTGAGGTATAGTGTCAGTACCGTCAATACTACCAGCTTAAATAATATATTTTTTTTGAACATTATCTTTCTTTTCAGGTGATGGAAAAGAAAATGATTTCTTATGGTATTAAAAAAAAAAAATACCTTGAAGCGGATCATATTTCTTTGCATACCACATCTTTATCCATCCATCATCATTTTTCGAAATCTTGTTTACGAATATCTATTTATACAATATTCCAAATCACATGTCTACTTTTCCAATGTAGATCTATATATGTATAATCGTGTGTGCGACATAAAAAATTCAATGACTAAAAAGTGATTCATCCAACATAAACTTTCTCAAAATTTTTCAAAGCAATTTTATTGGCCTTTGAGCTAGAATTTAGCTAGCACAAAATCAATTCTAACTCCCAAAATTACCAAAGGAGACTCCAAAAGTGAGGATCACACGGGTTACTTTAACCACTTTGTGTTAGGTTGCAGTTTACCTTTAGTATCGGATCAAATATATCGATAAAAAAAAAAACTACCCCAAATTTCTTAAAATATACGAACCATCTGGGTACAAACTTGAGTATAATAATGGTGACGTTTTTATCTTTGATATGTGCATGAAGCTGTTGTTGCACTATTGCAAAGGTATTTAAATTTTCCCAATGGCAATTGTTTCGAGTCAACCACGTAAGAAAATTCTAGCTTGCTTGATCTTTGTTATTGATTTTCTAATATCTCACATACGCTTTCTTCACCGAATACAGACGGGCTCAATACATCTGAGTAAAACATATGTTCCAAGCGACACAAAGGTATTTTGGATTTTATATATATTATCACGTTTGTTTTATATATAATTTTTAATATCTATACTTTTCGCCAGAATAGTATGTGAAGTTGCAGTTTGGCAAAAAGTCAAAGCATGGAAAAGAAACTGCACACCTTGGATGGATCAGCAATATGTGCAAAAAGTGTCGTAATCAATTATGACATATGCCGCAATTCCTATAAATAATTACTACAAGTATCTTTACTTATGAATAAAGCCCTATAATCCACGAAACACAAGAAAATGCACAAGGAAAATTTAATCATTCAATGAAGGTATATATAGATCTTTTAACTGTTTATATTTTGTAGTTTTATGGTCGATGTTTTCTCTCTCTCTCTTTCTAAAAAACTATTTGAATGTTAGTCTAAGTTGTGGATAAATGGAATGCCAACCCAAATGGTAAGATTAAACTGTTGAGAGATTCTGTTCATTTTTTATTTTTATTTTTTTCATACTTTTTTTTTCTTAAATAATTGCGACATTTTGGAACAGTCCAAAAAGGGAATAATGAACCTACCGAGAGTAATACATATTCCAATAAACAATATTTTTTTGGGATCTGCCCATTCCAGGCATTCCACTGGCTGCCTAAATTGCCGATCTATTTGAAATTTAACAGAGTTTTAACGGAGTAAGAAGATTAGTAAAGTCAGTTGATATTAGACTTATCTTTTTTAATCATGTATGCAGTGCGCTGTAATGTATTTATTTTGCATCAGAAAAATAAGGTTATCAATAATAATAATAATAGTGATAATAATAATGATAATCATATTAGTTAACCGCAAAAGCATTTAAGTTTACTCAATTCTCTGAAATGGGTCTTCGTAATACCAAACATATCTGACAATGCAATTCTCTTTACATAATTCTGCCTTAAGCTAATCTCAGGTTAATTGATTATTAAAACCTTCTAAAATTGATGAAAATGTTTAATAACGCTTGTGTCGCAAAACCATATTGTGGATATTCTGAACAGTTGAGACACTACATATTATCATTTTATGAGAGAGAGAGAGACATACCATTGATGCATTTTCAGAGTAACTTTTGGATTTGATATAAAAAATTTGTTAAACGTAACAGATTTGGTTACTGAAATAAGTAAATTATGTTTCTTCAATAATTATCTTACTTTTCAAAATACTATATTAAGTACTATGGAGTATTACAATCTAAATAAATAAGATGAACCTATGTCGTCAAAAAACAGCAAGTTATCATTTAGATTGCTAATGGCTAGACTGGAAAAACGAGCGTAGTAATACATTTGCTTTTAGGTAATAAATACATAAATACAGTATATCCAATATGTGAATAAAAAGATATAATCCTTATGATTTATTGATTTTTGTTTAACATGAAGATGAGTGGTTATGGAAAAAAATTTATAACTATTAAATAAACAAGCTCCTTGGTATGAAATTATTTGGTTTAAGATAATTACTCCTGATAAATTGTCATAACTCATCTTTTAAAAAAGAAAAAAACTAACTGGAGGGAAAATTAACTGGTGGGCAGAATTAAGTTAATGTTGGTAGGGTTAGAGGATTGACCAGGAACTATGTAATTCTGCCTACGGTGAAATTTTCCCCCCGGTGAAAATTAGCATCACTCTTTAAAAAAAAACCGGAATGAAAAATTTTTATGGTTTTTGATAATCTTGCTAAGCAACTCAACTATCTTAGATTAGGGCAGACATGAAAGAATTAACACAATTTATATTGCACATCGTTACTTTTAAATCTGAAATATAGTTCATGGAACATTAGATAATATAAAGTGTATCAGTATCCTAAACAATTAATAGATAGGAAATGATATCTATCCATCAATAGCATATCCTTAAAGATATATATCAAAAATATTTTTGTAGTTATTAATATCCAATGAGATTAAACCTTTGATAAACTAGAAAAAAAATGCTTATTTTGAAGGTATTGTGGAAATGGCATAATCACTTTGTGACTATTTTCAGCAATTCAAAATCTTGTAAAACGAGACTCTAGTTTGATAATTTTCCTTATTCTGATCTTTTGCATATGCCTATATATACTAAATAATAATTAATATTACTATTATGGAAAGAATGTCTATTTTGCTCTAGGTACCTAAGTAATATCTAGTTTCTTCTATTGGATTTTGTATATGTTTATTCTTTTCTTTGGATATAAATTATATGGTTGTGGAATCATTTTTTTGAGTGGACAAAGTTTTCTCTTAAAGTAATCTGTCTGTTTAGTATAGAATGATATTTTGGAACCGATCTATTCTCTTAAAGAGACTCCTTTGGTAATTTTGGAAGTTGTGGTTGTTTTTGGTTAAGTGACATTAATATCAGATCAGAAGTCAACTATAAAATTCTGCGAGGGACCAATAATTAAAAATGTATATTTTTTTATTTATTTTATCGTTAGATCGATTTTCAGCTACAGGGATCAAACGTTCATATTTCAAGTTTCATAATGGTGTTAGATCATCTTTATAACATCAAAGATATTGCCATCCAAAGATAGTTATACAAGTTTATTATTGGACATACAAACTCACGATTAGGTTTTACAAGCCTTCACGGAAGGCTTACTTCTTAGATCTTTATTATTACCATTGTTACACAACTGTACTAAGCTTTTACTTACCTAATACACACACACACATATAACTGGTAAGTAAAAATATATATAGTATATAAATAACATTTAACGTTTACCACGTTTACCTCGTTTACCTTTTCAACCATGTACGCAAATACTCGACGTAAAATTTTATCAGCTGCTGATAAAGCAGCCAATACAGTTATTTTCGCTGTTGGGCCAGTATTCATTTTTTTTGCAGTACTATTAATTGGACTAGCTACAGTAGTTTATTTTTCAGTAGTATTTCCCTCCTTTTATATTTGGGACGAAGATTATTTTTGGTCAAAAGTTTCTTATTATTTAGGATTATTATTTAGTTTATATTTGATAGTTTGTATCTTTTTTAATTATTTTATGGCAATAAGGACAAAGCCAGGTGGAGTATTGAGTAATACAATAAAGGGACAATTGGTGAGCGGTAGTATTTTATATATAGAAATGTTTATTTATTTATTTATTATCTATTTTTATTCATATATATACAGTATATTTATATTATTATTTTTATATATATACTTTATTTACTTTATTTAACTATATTTATTATATTTATTATAGGAATCCGATCCAACTTTACAAGATTTATTTCTAGAGTTGGAAGAATATCAAGAATTTCCTAAAATTTGCAAAAAATGTAATTATAACAATAATTATAATTATAATTTAATAATAATTTAATAATATTAATTTAATTTATATATTCTTCAATTATATTCAAAAAAAGGTCATCTTCCCAAACCAGAAAGAGCACATCATTGTTCAGTCTGTAAAAAATGTGTATTAAAATTCGATCATCATTGTCCCTGGATAGCAAATTGTGTGGGACATTATAATCATCGATATTTTGTATTATTCATGACTTATTTGGTGATTGGATGTTTCTATTTCGCTTTAGTTGGATGGAACGAATTTTTATCTTGTTTGGATATTGATTCTGAGGTGATTAATATATGATGATGATGATTATTATTATTATCATTATTATTTATATTTATATTTATATTTATATTTATTTTTATTTTATTATTATTATTATTATTATTATTATTATATTTATATTTTATTTAGTGGGAATGGTGGATGCCACGTCCATATATGGCATTATCATTCTTACTTGCAATTGCGATCGGAATTGCTCTTGGTAAGTTATTTATTGAAATTATTTATTGAAATTATTTAAAATTTCAAATATTTTATTATTCTTTATTTTCATAATATAGGTGGAATGTGTTTATGGCATTATTATCTGGTAAGTGATTATGCAAATATATGTGTATATATAATATCTTATTGTATATTTGTAATAATGTGAAAATTATTAAAAATTATAGATTTTGACAGCACAAACAACAGTAGAATTTTATAACAATTCATATGCAAAAAGTGCAGCAAAATCAAAAGGAGAAGTATACAAGAATCCATATAATCTTGGACCTTTAATCAATTTATGTCAATTCTTTAATGTTGGAAATAATTTGTAAGAATTATATTTTTATATTTTTTATGAATTTCTAAAATTTCTGAAATATTTACATACATGTTTATATATTTTTATTTATATTTATATATATTTTTTATTCAGCAAATAGTAAGTAATTTTATTTATTTATAAATAATTTATTGTTATGATCATCATTATCATTAATTAATTATTAATTATTAATATTTTTAATTTTTAAGTCCAATATATACTATATTTCTTCCAATACCTACTTTACCAAATGGTAATGGAAAATTTTGGGAAAAAAATGAGGAAGGTTATAATAATTATAACAATAACAATAATAACAACAATAATAATGCTGACAATGATAACTATAATTACAACAATAACACTAACAATAATATTAATATTAACAAAAAGATTGATAGTAATAATAGTCAAGCCAATATTTCTGAAAATTCAGAATAAACAAAAGAGAAAGAGAGATAATTTACTTAATCATTTTGATCCGTAAAAGTGAATTTGTGTAAATAGAGTGCATGTATTATATGTGTATGTATTTGTGTGGGAGATATATAATAACAATAATAATTAGAGAGAAATATCATTATAACAATGGTAATTAGTAACACAACAACAATAGAATTTATTCAATGCAATTTTAATTCATTCTTTTCATAGAGTTAAATAAATAACATTACATATTTAATATAATATTCTTTTTGAAATTTATATTTATTTATTTTTATAAAAATTTCCATTAATTTTTATTTAATATATTTAGCTTCAATTAAATTATCTTTGTTAATTAAATTAATAGTAGGAATAAAACTTGGATCTAATTTAAATACTTCATTTTTTATGTATTTTAAATCTTTTTCCATAGTTTTAATATTGTCTCTAACATTCTATTATATTTAATATATTTAAATAATAATAATAATAAATATAATATAAATGAAATAAAAATAAAAATAATAACAATAAAAATTACCTCAACATTATTGTCTATTTTGGATAAACCAGAACTTATTTGATTGATCTCTTTATTCACTTGAACTAGGTGATTAGTTGAAAATTTTTCCAATTCTTGTCTTAGTTGTTGACTTGCTTCATTTAATACTAATCGTAATAACATAAAAAAAAATAAACCAAAATAGTAAACAATAAAAATCAAACCGACCAAAAAAGAGAAATAATTAAGGTAATGATGAGGAGATGAGAAAAGATATAAAAAAAAAGGAAAAGATTCTCTTACAGCACTTTGTTGATGAATTAGACATCGTGGGAAATTTTATGTAATTTTTTGAGCGGGAGGTTTATATATTTTCAGGAATTCAAATGCACGTGAAACAATCGTGGACAACAACACTTAATAATGTCTAACTTGAAATGTAAATGTTCGTATTTTTGAATAAAACTAATCTTGGAAGAAACATTGTTTACATTTTATTATTATTATTATTATTATTATGATAAATAAAATTCAAAAAAAAAGTTTGTTTACGTTATACTTTTTTTGATATTTATGGAAAGAATATCAACAATTTCAAAACGTTCTTTTCATTTTTTTTTTTTTTTAATTACTAAAGAAAAATTATTATCTATTGTTACTCACACGGACCTTTTTTTGTCCCGACTCCTTTTTTTTTCATTATTATTATTATTTCCATTTTTTGTTATTTTTTTTTTTTTTAATATTTGCAATTTAATGTTTTCATTTTTCATTCATTCATACATTTTCATTTTAATATTTTCATTCATTCATTCATTTAATATTTTCATTATTTTTTTTTTTTTAATAATAATTATTTTTAATAATTATTTTTTAATATTTTCCTTATTATTAAAAATTTTTTTAAATATCTAAATTCAAAGATGTTCCAAAAGTCGATCTATTCACATTCTTTTTTTTCTTTGTATTCAATCTGTTCATCATTTCTTCAATAATTTTTTTCTCACATTTAAATATGACTAGTATGACTAGAAAAAAAGGAAAATGAATCGGGATTTGTCTCCCAAATAAAAAAAAAATAATAAAAATTGAACACAAAGATCCGTTTGCGACTAATGAGTAGTCATAAATATTATTAAAAATATTATTAAAAATAATATTAAAAAATATTACGCATTAAAAATTTAAAATTAATTTTTTTTTTTTTGTTCTTCCACAAAAAATAAATAAAAAATAAATAAAAAATAAATAAATCGTGAAAGACCTATCTAAGGTTACAGTTAATTGTTGTTCGATTGGATTGGTCAGATGATCGTATAATGAATAGTTATGGTTATAGTGCAGTGTAATGTGTGTGCGCGTGTATAGTTATGTATATATATAATAGTGCGCATATAGTTAAAGTATATGATTATAGAAATAATATATTATGTGAAGCGTGAAGAGGTGTGAGGAGAATGAGAAAAAAATAGTAGTAAAAGTAATTATAATAATAAGTAGAAGAAGAATATTATTATTATTTATAGACAACAACTCACTTTCATTCAACAATTCAGCCATAAACGTATTTCTATTCCGAATATACAAATAGGGAATAAGGTTACCAAACATTGTTTTATGAACATGTGCATTTTTTAAAATTGTTATAAAATTGGTCTCACTTGAATAAGTTCAGGATTTGGGCGTGATTTTTTATTTTATAAATAAAAAATAATTGTATATAATATTATATAATATTGACATAATATAATAAAAAAACAATACAATACAATATAATATAATATATTTTTTAATCATGAGAATTCTTTGAAGTATTAAAAATTGAATCTGCTGGTTTTTTTTATAATTATAAAAAAATATTTCCTCTACTTTATTAATTACATCTAACGTGATAAATCTACAAATCATAATTTTCGTGTAAAATTGAAACTCGGGATAAACCATCGAGAGGACAGGCCCGCGACAATATAGTTAAATATAGTTAATATAGTTTATGTAGTTAATGTAGTTTAATGTAGTTTAATGTAGTAAATATAGTTAAGACTACAATATATATTTTAATATAGTTAATATAGAATATTAATTAATAAAAAGGTTCTATATATTGATTATGATTACTGCGCCACTCTCCTCGATTCTCTTTTATTTATATCTATTTATTTATTTAGTACACTTTTTAATATACACTCGTGATAATTCTTGTAATCCTCATCTCCTTCGCCACATTTTTTTTTGTGCATCTCACAAAACTTTTTTTTTACCCTTTTCCCACTTATTATTTTATTTCTCCAGGTTAAAATAGGATCTTTCTCCATCTTATTTCACATCTTCCTTTTGAGAAACCTATTGAAGTTCTTTTTACCCTTAATCTAAATTAATCTTGCAGTAAGGAAAAAAAAAGAAAGACCGGCAGGTATATATTATATATATATATAAGACTTATATATATATTTATTTAAACTTTACACGCCTTTTTTCCTCTTTTTTTTTACCTTTTCTTCTTTTTCTTATTATCTTTGGACTTGTAAGAAAATAAAAAAAATATATAATTTATGAGTTTATGTACATTTTTATTCAACTTATTTATTCATATTTTATATTCTTTAAAAATAAAATTCAATAAAAAATTTTCGCTAAATTATCTTAATCTTTGAAAAATTATCATTCTTTTGATTTTAATTTATTATTGATTTTTATTATTATTTTTTTTTTTATTAATTTTTTTTATTAATTTATTATTAATTTCTTATTAATAGTTTTATAAAATGGCTCCCACCAAGCTCAAGATCAAAGGCAATAAAGCCTTTTCACTTTTATCTACAATTGATACAGATGAAGATTTATCAAAAACTTGGCGTTTAATGACAAAGGTTAAAGACGCTTTAGAATATGGAATGCGGTTGGAGAATTTATCTTGGCGTTTATGGTTTATACATCATCTTACGGTTCACGACCAAAAAACGCAAACACAATTTAAAAAGCTTTCATCGGCTACTACAGAAAAATTGGAAACCGAAAAAACGACAAAACTCCAAAATTTAACGGCCCCAAGTTATCGACCAAAAAATAGTCAAGATTTAAATGGATCAAATAATAATAATAATAATAATAATAATAATAATAATAATAATAATAATAATAATAATAATAATCTTAATTATAATAATTATAATAATAGTAATAATAACAATAATAATAATCAGGATTTTAACGAAAAGAAAAATAATAAGAAAAAAAATACAAAAATTGTACGCAAAAAATCTCTTACCCAAAAATCTGCTATAAAAAATCAAAGATTTCACGAATCAATTGAATCAATTCAAAATATTGACGAAAATCCCGACAATAATGATATCAATAATTTAGAAATCGATTTTACTAAAGATGAAAAAATTATTGTTACTACTCCCACTTCATCATCATCATCTTCTTCTGTTACTGTTAATAATCGAATAATGACTGATTCCAATTTAGATAGAGTTAATGATAATAGTAATGTGGTTATGTCCGGTAGGAATTTTTTATTTATTTTTCATTATCAATTGATATTTTATTATTAATAATTGAGATTTCTCTTCCTCTCTTCCCTTCTCTTCATTATTTTTTGGGGAATTTTATTTTTATAGTTGGTGGTCACGATAATTCAACGGGACTTACTTCTCCTATCGAAGATATGTATGACATAAGCGATATTAATAGCCATCAAGAATACGTTTTACGTCAATATACAAATGATCAAGACCCCTTCCAAGTTATTTCATTACCTGGTTTTGTACGTTTCGGTCCAGCTCAAGCATTATTACATCCTAATCATCCACCTATAATGCAAATAGATCTAGATCAACTTATAGGAGTTTATAGTAATTTTCCATCATCATCTGATTCGTCCGGACCAAACTCTCCAAATGATCTCGAATGGTACAACAATGATCTTTTAGCTCATGACGTTGTATCTCAACCGACGACTTCTACTATGGCTAGACAAAATATACAATATCATCATCAAATGTCAACTCTTTCATCAAATGATCAACAACTTGGTGGTAGAACAACAACAGGAATTCATAATCATGGAGCTGTTTACGTTCCTAGAACGGTAGAAAATTCACCCGTTAATCCTACGCCAATTAATACCACCAATTTAACCTTATCAATGAATAATACACCTCTTAATACACCTCTTAATACGCCACTCAATACGCCACTTCACACACCACTTCATACACCTGTTAATGGATTACCGAACAATAACATATTAAATGGAGTTTCCAATTCGGGTCTTATATATATGAATCAATATTCTACCAATACTAATAATCAAACTACAAGCAACTCAAATTCTTCAATGCAACAAAATCCTTCAAAACAGAATGCATCAACGTCATCCTCAAACTCATCATCATCTAATTCATCATCTAACTCATCATCTACATCCAATACTTCAACTTCTACCACTAACACTGCTAATACTTCTTCCTCTTCTACAATTGCCGTTCGTCCTTCTACGACGACAACATCATCATCTACAACAACTTCTTCCGAAAACAGACCCAAAAAGACACATTCTAGTGGTGAACAACAATGTTTTAACTGTGGTGTTACTTCAACTCCACTCTGGAGACGATCTGCTAACGATGAACTTTTATGTAACGCTTGTGGTTTATAGTAAGTTATTTTATTTTATTTTATTTTTATTTTTATTATTATTTTTATTTTATTTTATTTTTATTTTATTTTATTTTATTTTATTTATTTTATTTCATTTCCAATATCTAAAATTTTATCATTTATTTACCATTTATTTTTATTCAGTCTAAAGTTACATAAAATGGCACGTCCAAAAACTATGAAACCTCATATTGTTCGTAAAGATGCACGAGATGATGAGGCAACCCAACCCGTTTGTTCAAATTGTGATACAATGACTACTCCTTTATGGAGAAGAGATGAAGAGGGACAAACTCTTTGTAACGCTTGTGGTCTTTAGTATGTAAAGAATTATTATTCTTAATATAATAATATTATTGTTTATTATTATTTATCACAATTATTTATTGATTAAATTATTAATTAATTATTTAATTATTTAATTTAGTTTCAAATTACATCATGAGAGACGTCCATTGTCAATGAAAACCGATGTTATAAAGAAACGTCAACGTTATGAAAATGGACAAACCCCAAATCGTCGACCAGGTAAAAAGCAACGAACAAATGAAGATAAAGATGGTCAGCAACAACAACAACAACAACAGCAGCAGCAGCCACAACAACCACAACAGCCACCACCACAACCATCACAACAACAACAACAACAACAGCAACAGCAACAACAGCAACAGCAACAACAACAAGTATTAACTACACATTCATCACAAGCACAACAAGTTTCTGTATACACGAGTTCTATTGGAGGTGTTACCACTGCTTCATCAGCAACAAATTCTATGGGAATTCCTTCAAGTTCAAATGGATCCATGACAATTCCACAAAATTCAACTACCAATACTTCAATTGGTGTTAATCCAACAATTAATGGATCCATTGCGGTAGGTCAAACTTCCGCCCCATCTCTTTCTACTGTTCGTCAGGCATCAACTTCTTCAATTGGTGGAGGATATTAATTGATTAATGAATAATAAATGAATTACTTATGAATACCTTTTTTTGAAGAAAAAAAAGAGAAGGAAAGATGAAAGGAATGACGGATTGGTTTAGTTTGTCCCTTTTTTTAAAAAAATATTTTTAATAGAAAATCAAAAATATTAGTTAATATAGTTGGAATGTTTTTGTTTATTTTTTTTCCTTTTATTTATCCATTTTACATTACTTTTATATTTTCATTGTCTTTCCTCTTTTTTTTTTTTTTTTTTTGTTTTTTTTTTGGATACTCCATATTTTCTCCTATAAAATATAGATTCATTCGTAATTACAAAAAAATACATTCATTCGTAATTACAAAATATACATTCATTCGTTTAATTCCCATCAAATCATCTCCCTATTTTTTCGCGTCAAAAATTGTATTATATTATAATTGTACATTTTATTGATTTTATTGACTAAATTTAGGCTGCTTACTACTTTTCACCAAAATATCTAATCACTTGGCAGGCCTTTTGTACAATTATTTCAATTTCTCTTTTTTTTTTTGATATTGAATAAAAATTCATAGAAATTTCATAGCATTTTATTATTGTGTTGGAAGAGATGTTATTTATTATTATTTTTTTCTTTGTAAATTTTTTAAATCTTCTTTTCCTTTTTTTTTATATAACATCTCTATTATAAACAAAACATCATTAAATTTTTTCTATGATATGATCAAATAAAGATGGACTATATTCTTCAGATAAAACCTTTTCAATTTTTTTTTTTAAACTTGTAATACAATATACACAAAAGAAAACAAAAAGAAAGGAAAAAGAGAAAAAATAAAAAAAAATGATCAGAAAGAAAAACAAATTTTTTTTTTTTACATTTCAATTATAAATTTTTAATATCAATATTACTTTCAATATTTCTTCCAATATATTCTAGTATTTCTACATATTTCTTTCTAGTATATATATGTAAATATAGCGATCCTTAATCGCAAATTCCAATAAAAATAAATTTTGTGAAAAACAAATAAGAATAATATTATTACAATTTTTATAATTTTTATTTCAAAAAAAGGTAATAGGTAAAGAATGAGTGCGAGTTTTCCCTATTTTTGAATATAAAGATAATTACGTTAAAATTAATGGATCATTAATTATTAAAAATTTATATAAGCAACTTTTTTAAAATTATTATTTTATTCAAAAAAAAAGAAAAAAAAAAAGATTCTTTCAGAAATATTAAGCCCACTAGATTTCTTCCCTTCATAAACTTCATATATATAAAATATATCAAGGTTATGATCAAAGTACAAGGATGATATTGTTTGTTATATATTCATCATTAAGGATGCACCTCTCATAAAATTAAATAAATTTCCTTTACCTTTTCCAAATCTAAGTTCTTTTCTCCCTTTATTGGCATGTAAAATTTTTATAAATTATCAATACCTTCTCTACGAAATATACAAATAATAAAAAATATACACTTTGATCTTTGTTATTGGGATTAGATCTCTGTTATTGGAATTTTATTGAGAAGAGAATAAATTTAACAATTTAACGTAATATGGTTCGGACATTACGTAATCTACAGTAAAAAAATAAACTTAAAGAATATAGTTAGTAAAAGACGCAAAAAGCGCGCCCAAACCTACAAAAAAAATATTAATATTTTAACAAATTTTCATTACATAAAAAGCTTTGTAGTCTAATCTATAACTACTTTGATTATATATTGATCTTAAGGCACAGTCATGAAATAAGTACTGGCACAATAACATGCACAGTCTCAAACATGCGCGGGCCAAAAAATAAAATCAAAAAAAAAAAAATATTATTTAAAATTTAAAAAAAAAAAGTAGTGTATTTATACAAGTGATACGTGTTTGTGTCACCAAAATTGATATACTGTATATATTAGAAATTCAAAGATAATCTACCAAAAAATCATTTTCGATAATGCTTAAAAATAATAATAATAATAATAGTTGGATACTTCAAAGGTTACGTTGTAAACCTAGACGTCCCTTTTGGAAATTACCTCAACATCGTTTACCAGTTTTATCTCTTTACAAAACTTTACTTAAGATTACAGAATTATTTCCTGAAGCTATACACCGGAAATATTTATTTTACGCAATAAGAGATAAATTTAGATACAGAAGACATGAAACCTCAGTGACCAATACCGTTAAATTTTTAGAAGAAGCTAAAGAGGTGAAGAAGAAATTCTTTGATTATATAGAGAAAAATTTTTTTATAATATTATACTTTTAAATTGTTTTAAATGTAAAGTAACTAGTGTCGAAACACCTTATTAAATGCACTTAAAGGTGATAAAGTAGCATTTCAACATATTGACGACTTAGCATGGGGTAGAAAGGGGAGACTTCAAGCTGTTTTAACTTTGGTAAAAAAAATTTATTTATTTATAATATATTTATTTATAGTATATTTAATATTGTTTCTGGTTTTTTTTATTAAATCTCTTAAATAAACCAAGTAAAATTTAACGATATTTTAAAGCTTCGAACCAAAAAATGGAAAACTAAAACGAAAGCAAATGTAGGTTCTTTATATGCTTTTGTTATTAAAAATAAATTATTAAAAGTTAATTATTTTCAATTAGCGAGGAATCCTTCGAATAGTTTCAGATATAAGAAGTATGGAATCACGAAAAAAAGATCCACATCCAGCATATAAAATACCTCTTGATCGAAGATTATATTCACCACCTAGAATACAATTAAGACTTAAACCTCCATTTCGAAAAGTAAAAAAACATCCTTGGCGTAGTGGACTTATTAGACATAAAGTAACTACTCAATTAGGTTATAGATTTTGGAGAACAAGAGGTTGGAAACAACCAGTTTGGATTTCAATGATGATGAAGAAACGTATGGCTCAACATCAAAAGAAAATTAATCGTTTTAAAGTTTTAGAATCATATCTTGAAATGATTAAAGTAGAAGAATCAGTAATGAAACGATTAGATCGAAATTTATCCAAAGATGTTGAAGGATTTGGTAAATAAAATTAACATAAATTTTTTATTGATTTTTATTAGTTTTATTTAATAATTTTATTATTATTTCTATAGACAATTTGATTGTAAAAGAAATGAAAGAAAGTAAAAAATTCCATGACAGGATGACAAGACTACAATCAAAATCTCAAATAGATAATGACGATTTTGATATTGATAAATAAAATTAAAAAAAATTTAAAATTTATTGTTTTAATTTCAAAAAGTTTTGAATGCTATTATTTAATGCATCAATTTCTGCTTGAAAGGCCTTAACCTAAAATAAGAAAAAAAATATATAAATATATTAATAATTTTAACAAATAAAAATATAGAATATTTATATTATTATATAGTAAAAGTTAGAGAATGAATACCTTTGCTTCATTGGCTTCACGGACATTCAGTGGGACTTTAGATTCATAATCTGAAACTTGTGTTTTCTTTTGAAGTGAATTCAATGATTGCGTCGATTTTTCAAGTTTCTTTTGGAATTTCATTACTTCAACATCTATATCTACATTACCCTATAAAAATGTGATAAATGATAAGAATAAAGGATACGGTAATAATTAAGACTTATTATGTAAAAACATCACTATTTTTTTACCTTCACCAAAAGATGTATATTTATTTCATCGTTGACTGTGCTAAGAGCACAACCTTCAGGAATAGGTTCGTCTTTCCGAAATACGCGAACAGATTTTATTCCTTTTATCAAAGTAATAATACTTAACTCTTGTGATGTAATCACTTTCATCAATGATTCAGAAGCTACTTGAATAAAAACTATAATTCCAAAAGAAAATTTTTAGAATTAAAAAGAAATTTGCTAACATTAAGAAAATAAAAATATTGTTTAACTTACGAGATGCATTAGACTGAATATTATATTCAACAGTAAGTGACCGTGTCGCTTTGATAATTGAAATTATAAGGTCAAATTGTCCTTCAGCTTGGGAATCATTATATTCTGGTTCCTATGGATTTTAATTTTTCATAAGTATAATGCAACAAACGATATAATTTTGATTTTGATATTTTATTTTCATCAAGATACCTCAAGAGGGTATTTGGATTGGACAATTGTTGGAATATTATCATTCGGACGTCGAGGTAAACGTTGATACAATTCTTCAGTCACGAATGGCATGAAAGGATGAAGTAATTTAAGACCAGCTTCTAAACAAGTGTACAGTGTATCTTCTACTGTACGTTTACGTTCTGCATTTTCTAATATTGAAATATCTGTATCAACAATTGGTTTAATAATTTCCTGTTGATATAAACAATAAAATTGGAAATAATTAGCTTTGAACGATAAAAAGAATAAATAAAAAAATGATAATAAATAAAATAATTATAAAATAATAATAAAATTACAATGAAAACATCACAAAGTTCATATAACCAAAAGCTATGAATAGATGTTGTGGCATTCATGAAGTTCCTTTCGTGTAAAGCTTTATTCGTATCAATTACAGCTTTATTTAGTTTATGTAATATCCATAATTCGGGTAATGATTCTTTTCCAGATTTCTATAATTAATTATATAAATAAATTAATTATAATATTTATATTTATATATATTATATATAAATAAATATATTGGATTCTACCTTGGCACTAGATTTGGGCTGAAAATCTTCGCCTAATTTCATTAACGCAAATCGAGTCGCGTTCCATAATTTATTACAAAATTTACGATAACCTTCCACACGAAGAATATCAAGATTAAGGTCTCGACCTTTTTTAATAAATTTGAAATTTTTTTTTAATATAAAGTAAGAAAATGAAACATTAAATAATTAACATATGATATACTATTTATTAACCTGTGGAAGTGTAGGCACACAGCGCAAACCTTAGCGCATCAGTACCGCATTCTGGGATGCCATTGGGGAAATCTGCTTTCTGACCAGCTTTGGCTTTCTCAATTTCACGTTTATCAAGATTTCCTTCATATAACTTTGCATGTAATCTTTCCAAAGATATACCTTGGATTACATCCACAGGATCAACAACATTTCCTAACGATTTACTCATTTTACGACCGTGTGCGTCACGAATCATGGCATGACAAAAAATTTCATTAAATGGCACTTGGCCAGTAAGTTTAATACTCATCATGACCATACGAGCCACCCAAAAGAATAAAATGTCCCACCCTGTTTCTAGTAGTGATGTAGGGAAGAAATTAATCAAGTCATTTGTCTATAATTTAATATATAAATTAATATATAAATTAATATCAATAAATATATAAATAGAATAAATATATAGACATATAATTAAAAAAAAAAAAAAAATACTTTTTCAGGCCAACCAAAAATGGAGAAAGGCCATAAACCAGACGAAAACCATGTGTCTAAAACATCTGGATCTTGCATTAATTCAAATTCCACATTCGGAAATTTTTCCTTTGCTTTTTTGAGGGCTTCCTCTTTATTACGGCCTGATACCCAATATGAACCATCTGACCTCTGTGTGTAAAATAACATAAAAAATATAAATGTAAAATATAATAATATTTAAGAGTATTGCTAAATATCATCGCAGGTGATTGTGATTGTCACCCCTAGGAAAAATTTCATAATTCCTTAACCCTAACTTTTCCCACGTAAATTTAATCTCTCCTGTGGTGAAAATTACCTACGGTGATATTTAGTAATTTTCAATATTTGAAATATAAAATATCCAATAAAGAATAAACTTATACTCACATCTTGAACTCGATTAGCAATTTTAATAAAATAAGCGGGAACTTGATGTCCCCACCATAGCTGACGTGAAATACACCAGTCTTGAATATTGCCTAACCATCTGAACCAATCTTTTTCAGATGTTTTTGGTATTATTCGTAATTTATCATCCGTGACAGCCTGTAGGAAATGTTACATTAGATGAATAAATTTTTGAAGTTTGAATAAACCATAATAAATAAGAACAGACCTTCATAGCTTCAGCTGCCATATTCGAACAACTAACCCACCATTGGGGCTTTAATACGGGTTCTATAACATCTCCAGACTTACTGAAAATCATAAAAATATATATATACACATAATATCTATAAGACTGAAACCCATCGTGCTTCATTTGTACTTCATTAATACCTTGATTATACAGTTTGATACTGATACTTACGCACAAAGAGGAATAGACATTGGGTTTTCCTGTGTTCCACAAAATAGACCTTTTTCCTTGAGAGCTTCTATTACTTTTTCACGAACGTGAAACCGCTTCATGTCCTAAAAAAAAATACAAAAATATATATATATGAAAATATGCAACAAATATTGGACAAACATAATGTAAAAATTCTTGTTTCACATACTTTAAATGGACCACCATTTTCATTTAACGTACCGTCGTCATTTAATATATTGATGAATTCTAAATTATGCCTTTTCCCGACTTCATAATCATTAAAATCATGAGCGGGAGTAATCTTGACTGCACCAGTACCAAACGACATGTCAACTGCAATATCATCTAATACAATAGGAATCTTTCGACCATTAAAAGGATGGATGGCGAATTTTCCATGAAGATGCTATAACAATAAAAAAATTTCATTAGGTAAGAGTATTTAAAAGATCAGTCACGTTAAATGACTCTAACCTTGTATCTTTCATCTTGAGGATGAACTGCAATACCGGAATCTCCCAACATAGTTTCGGGGCGAGTCGTAGCTATGATGATTTTCTCGTCTGATAATATTAGATTAGAAAGTTCGAGAACTTGTTATTTTACTCATAATATAAATCGATATAAAACGATATAAACTGATATAAACTGATATAAACTGATATAAACTGATATTAATTAAAAAAAACAAACCCGAATTTTCGATGGGATATCCAAAAGACGTCAATACACCGAATTCGAATTTCTCCTCGGGTCCATAACCAGGAACAGATAAAAGTGTGCGCCCAGATAATTCTTTGTTTTCTACTTCTAGGTTTGATAAAGCGGTATTGAGTCTCACACACCAATTTATCAACCTAGTAGCTCTATAAATAATTCCTTCTTCTTGGAGTCTGCAAAAAGCTTCCACAACAGCATTAGACATTTTCTAAATATTATAAATAAACATGTAATTCTATAATATATAATTATATATTCCAATTTATTCTAATTTATTATAAGTGTCAAAATATATACTTCGTCCATAGTAAACACAGCACGATCCCAATCAAAAGAACCTCCAAGACGTTTCATCTGAGTATGAATCCGATCTCCATACCTTCAATATATGAATAATTTATTAAAAAGTTTAATCGATTAACCTAAGATATAAATTAAATCAAATTTGATATTTACATACAAATTTTTCCATTTCCAAACTTCTTCAATGAATTTTTCTCTTCCGAGATCATGACGAGTTTGTTTATTTTCGATCCATAATCTTTTTTCTACGACAGACTGGGTCGAAATTCCTGCATGATCTATCCCGGGATTATATAACACGGTCTTTCCCAACATGCGATTCCTAACGATTATTAATCTTTTAATGTTTGATATTCGAAAAATTTTTGTTCATGTTAACTTTTTTTTTTTCTTTTTTACTTACCATCTTACCAAACTATCTTGAATTGCAATAGTTAATCCGTGACCAATATGTAGCGAACCTGTAACATTTGGTGGTGGAACGGGAACTACAAAGAGCCCTTCCGGATTGGGTTTACCATCCGGCGTCAATGCCGGTTTGAAAAACCCTTGTTTTTCCCACCACGAATACCAGGCAAACTCGACAGCTTTAGGATTATATGCTGACGCCATCGGCTGGGACATATCTATCAATTCCGATTCAATAATAATTCAATTTCAATTCAATTTGATAATTCGATTCGATTTTGATTTCGATATAAAACGGAAAATTATTATTTATAAAATAATGACCTTTCTTTTCGCCGACAGGGGTATTATTTATGAAAGTTTCCTCATAAACAACTTGTTTTTCACCTTTATTTTTTTTATCTTTGTCTTTCTTTTTTTCATTGTCAGCGACCTAATTGAAAGGAATTACTTAATCCATAGAATGTAAATTAATAAAAATTTTTAAAAATCTTCATACTTCTTTATTATTTTTATTATTTGAACGATTGGATTGTTTGGCAGCAAATTTTGCTAGCTTTGCTTGTCTTTTGGCCTCATTCTTTTCAGCATTTTTTGATTTTGGAACATTTTCCGCAGAAACGTTAGAATCCGACATAATTGATAGAATTGATAAAAGATAAGATTTAATTTATACTGTACACAAAAAATTGTAAACTGGTAGATCACAAATAGGATATCATTAGTCTTATTTTTGAGGGACAACTCATAGTTACACACATATAATTTAGAATAATGATCGTCATCAAATCTCACAATTACATCATCATTTAAATAAATCACGTGAAATTGAAAATCACCTGAGAATATTCCCATCCCACAATACATAATACATAATACAATCTCTCATATTTGTTTACGACATTTTTTATCATCCAAAGGGATTCTTTTAGGTATTTATAAGCAAGCTCCTCTTAGTTTATTAAAGGTAATTTATCACCTGGTCGTAAAACGGTATCGAGTAACACAAAACATATTGGTAATCCAAAAAATTTGAATTAACTAAACATTTATAAATTTTTATTAATTAAAAAAAGTAAATAAAAAAATTATATGAAAAACGATGTCAACAAAAAACAAGTCGGAAGAGGAAGTAGTCAATGAGCTCGGTGATGAGTTCTTAAATTATGATGGCGTTGAAGGTGGAAACGTCGGTACTGAAGAAAATACCACCACCACTGAAAACGTAGAAAAAAAGATTTTTGAATCAGTAGCAGAGCCGACTGATAAAAGCAAGGATTCCGAGGAAGGACCTTTGGGAAAATCGGAAAAAGTGAATACTGATCTGCAAGAACAAGCTGACCCAGGTCAGACAAATGGAAAAGCAGAACAAAAAGAAGAGAAAGAGGAGAATGAGAAAGATAAGGAAAATAATAAGGAAGTAGAAGAAGAAGTTTTCGAGGTCGAATCTATTCTTGATCATAAAAAACACAAGGCATGTGCCAAACGCGTCAATTTATAATTGGTATTAGTCTTTAAAAATCCTTTATATAATTTAATGCAATAATTATTATTTTTCGTTTTTAGAATTTGACTAAATACTTTATTAAGTGGAAGGGTAAATACATTTATTAATGATCAATTAAAAAATTTGAGAATTGGCATTTTTTAAAATTGAATTTATTTTTTATATTTAGGTTTCTCACTCGAAGATTGTACTTGGGAAAATGAGGATGATGTGTATGAATTCACTTTAACATATGTAGATAATTTGATTTTATTAATATATAAAGAAAATTTTATAAATTTTGATTTTTTGAATTTTTTTTTTTTTTATATTTATAAAGTTATGCTGAAGAACTTTTAGAGGAATATTGGGCGAAACTACAAGCAGAATCGTCGAAATCACATAGCAAGCGTAAGGGAGGAAGAAAGCGCGCGGCGCAATCACCACCACCTACCCCAGTTAAACGAGAAACCAAGAAGCAACGTCAAACTAAAACCAAAACTACTAATACTAAAACTAGAACAGAACAACAGGAAGAAGAGGATCCTTCCCAACAAGCATCAACAGCATCATCGTCAGCAGAAAGTTGGGAAGATAAAGTTATAGCGGTTGAAACTGTCACTCGTGATGATAAGACTGGAGACTTACTTGTTTATCTCAAATGGTATTTATTTATAATTATTATTTAATTATTCCTAATCGTTTTTTTTTTATTAATTATTATTATTTTTTCTTTAGGAATAATGGTGAAACTTCAAGACATCCAGCGAAGGATGTAAATATTAAATGTCCTCAGAAAGTAAGAATTTTAATTAATAATATTATTTTATTTGGATAAATTATAAATAAATTAATTAATAATAATTATTATTATAATTATTTAATAGATGATCAAATTTTATGAACAACGATTGACTTTTGCTCCTCCTTCAACGCATAATAAGAGTTAAGTCAATAATGAGAGAGACATCTTTAATAGATTTACGAAATCACAAGCTTGTTGCTTTATGCAATTTTAATTTGATATCAAAAATACAACCAGGAATGTAAATAGAACATTATTGTTGTCGTTCTTTTCTTTTAATCTTTATGATATATACATTTTCTTTATTCTTCCCTCCTTTCTTTGTTATTTTTTTTTTTTGAGTTTACATGCTTTAAATAACGTTGATATAAATAAAAAAAAAAAAAAAGGCACATTATTTTTTAGCATAATTAAATAGTTTGTTATTTTGAGAAATAACAGAAATAATAATAAAATATAATTTCGGTGCAATGATTAGGAATTTAAATAGTAAAATATTGATTTGCCAATTAATATAATAATTCATATAAAAAATAGTAAATACATTCATACAAATTATACAAAATAAAAATACAATTAAATTGATTAATAAATTTATAATAATCATCTATAAATATTGTAAATTTTCAAAAAATATAATTTACAATAAATAAAAATAAAAAAATGATAATAATAAATAAATAAAAATAATAAATAATTTATTTATATCCTGGAAGTGCGCCTCGTTTTCTAGTAACAGGCGTTCTTGGTGGATTTTGTGTCGTAAAATCAGAATTCGAATACGAAGAATAAGGAAATAATCTTCTTGATGGCTGAAAATTTGTTTCTATTGGTGGTCGAAATTCATGCGACGATGGATAATTTGATCTTTTAATATAAAATTACATAACATAAATTACATAAATTATAAGAATTTTCTATCTTTTTACCTGGGACAACATTTCCCAAGAAATTATTAGAATTATTATTATGAAATTCATTCCATGTCATCCTCTGTTTAGAAAACGATTGGACTGTGAGACGTGGAGTAAATTGATTAAACGTGTTATTAAGGTTACTAAGATCACTAGGAGGAGGAGGTTGCTGTTCATATCTAATATATATATATATATATTTATATATTTATATATATAATTTCTTTAATTTCTTTCATTTTCAATTTCTCTAACAAAAATTTTTATAATTCAGAAGAATATTTTATTTATCTTAACTGATAATATGTTCTTCCCCCACCATCATAATTTCCACCGCCTGCATTATATGGCGATTGATTTATATCATTCCGATGATAATGATATTCATGATTTTGCTCTTGGTAAGTTGCATGTGCTGGTGAATTTGTAGTTTGGAGAGATAATCGTGAAGGAGGATTTGGAGTTCTTGGCTAATGAATTTATAAAAATTAAAAAATCTCTTGTTTTATTATTATAATGAAAATACCTTAATACCTTGGTTGTCGGTGATATATGATGATGAACACGATTTGATGATTTACGAATTGCTCGTGGACTAAATAAAATTCGATCATTTAGTAAATATGAATGGACGAATGGTGATTGAATGGTGATTGATTGATTGATTTATTCGATGTTAATATGATTGCTTACGACGATAATTAACTAACCTAACGTTATGTCCATTTTGTCCACGATGTTCTTTAGGTCGTAAAGGAGATGAATCCACTTTCTTCTTTATACTTGAACTTGAGTGAATTTCTTGTAGTTGAATTTTCAATCGTTGATTTTCATCCTTAAGGGTCTGCAATTGACTTTAAATTATTTATATACACACACATATATATTATTTATTTACTGTCAAAATTTAATTCAAAGATCCTTTAAAAAAACAAAATAATGTTTTTGATTACTTTTTCAGATCTTTGTATTGAAGCAATTCGCTTTTCGCTTTATCAAGCATTTGTTTTTGCTTGGTCACTTTGTCTTTCAAAAAGTTTAATAGAGAAAATGTATTGGTTTGCTGAAACTAGATATTTTATATAAAATTTGTCAAAATAAAGCAATTGAAAAATTTAAATCAAATAATATTATTATTCGTCTCACCTTTAAAACGTCTGCTGCCTCACCTAAAATTTCGTGTGCAGGCCGAAAAAACATACCAAGATTAGATGGAAGCTAAAAAAATTCAAAATTTTATTTGTTATTCCGGAATTTATATTATTTATCTTATGAAAGTTGGTAAAATACTTTACCTTCTCTGTTAATTCCACTGAAGAACACTTTGTATTACAAACAGGACAATTATAATCATTATCTGGAGAGGGGGGTGAACTAACTACAGATTTTACCAACTAACAATGTTAGAAATACAAATCAAGAATGTGTGACTGAAACTGAGATAAGTCGAATTATATAACTTGAACATAAGATTACCTTTTTTTTTAAAGTCAATAGCGCCTTTATTTAAACATTTATGACAAACGACATGCCCACATTCTGTTAACCAAAAACGAGTTTGTTGTGTGCTTGCTGAGTACGAGAAGCATGCGTTACAATGAAGAAATTCAATGTACATTTTGGAAATTTTTAAAATTTTTATTTTTAAGATATTTGTTTATTACTTTTTGTTACGCGATTTTTCGTGTTTTGGTTAGATGTTCGTTAAACTACTGTTGTTTGATTTGATTGGTCTCACAGGCGAGTCATGTGAGAATTCAATTTTATTTATCGCTATAAAATGTAATCATCAAACTAGAGATGAAATTGCATCCTTGCTATTTTCAACTTTTCCCAAAGAAATTTAATAAACTCTTTTGAGAAGAAACTTCGTTTCCCTTCCTTTTTACTCGTTTTGTTTTGGTACCCTTTACAATTTCTTTTTCCTTTTCATTTGTATTTTCATTGGTAGCAGATATTTTTGGAACAGATTCTTCTTCAGAAAAAGATTCCCATTCATATACATCTTCATTCACTTTTAAAACAAAAAACAATAATTAAATATAATTAAAATTGACATTCGTCAAAGATATTAATTATAAAAATTATGAAGATGAGAAACGTTAAAATAATTTGCCTAGAAATCCTCTTTCATTCTTATATGTTTTTTGTTTCAGAACCTTTCGTCTTCCACGCTTTCTTTGTGGTGGAGCTGGTTGTTCTGATTGTTCGTTAGATGGTAGAATTTGGTCAATATCCATTCTATCACTAAGTATGGAAGACGAACGATCTAACTCTAAATTGAACGAAGATATTGGTGTTGATCGTTCTAATTGTTCGAGGATTGGGTTAGACGGTAGATTTTGATCTAATATCAAGTAAGAAATAATATAGAAATAAGAAATAAGAAATAATAAATTATTAAATCAATTAAATTAATTTTTAATACCTGAATCATCCTCAATGTCAATACTTTTCCTTTTTTTTGATTTTTGTTGCTATTAATGAATATTAATGAAGAATTATTTAATAAGAAATGTCTAAATGGATTTTTAGGTGAGCTTTATATATAAAGCTTACTATTTCTTCTTTTGAATTTTGTACAAGTAATGGTTCATTAGATTTGGTGGGATTGTTGCTATCCTTTGAAGTTTTCTATAATAATGATTGAATTAAAATTAAAATTAAAGTTAAGCTTCTTAATTAACTTTAAAATCGAGAAAAATAAAAAATAAAAAAAATTCCTAACATTCACAGCTTCTTTTTTATTTGATGATATCCTCTTTTCGAAAAATGTCGATTTTTTATTTTTAGAAGAAATAGATTTCTCTTCCTCATTTTTACGTTTAGAAGAATTAAGTTTCTCATTTTTACGTTTAGAAGAAACAGGTTCTTCATTTTTATGTTTAGGAGGAACAGGTTCCTCATTTTTATCTAAAGTTTTATCCGGAAGAATTTTATCTTCTGAATTTTCAAATGCGACTATACTGGATTCCTCCTTATCTATTAGTTTAATAGGTTTAATAAATGAAAATCCCTTCCTAATCTCGCGATTAACAGAAACCACAGCGGATTCATCCTAATAATAATAATAATAATATTTATTGTTTAATTATATTTGATAAATTTGAATAAGATTAAAAATTTACCTTTGGACAATAAGCTTCTACACTATATATATGTATACTTGTCAATTTTTTGAATCTTTGTTTAATTTCTTTAAAGTGAACGCAAAATGTTACAAATGTTTTAGAAAGTATTTAATATTATTTAATATATGAATAAAGTTTTAATTTTTCTTCAATAATGTGTACCTTCTAATTCTTCCTGCACCACCAGTTTTACTTTATGACAGTCATCGTTAGAAATACCACTAAGGCAATAGGTAGCGTGTATAGGAACCAATGATAAAGAAATGGTTTCAAAAAGCAACCTACGTTTTTGATTTGAATAAAAAGTAACTTTATCATTTAATTATTTTTATATAACGCGATAGTTTTATTAAAAATCTTACTGTTTAGCTTGATTTATCGGAATTCCCAGATATCGACTGAGCCACTTATAAGTAACCTAAAGCAAAAAAAAACAACGCGTTTTAGATAAAAAATAATAATAATAATAATAATTATTATTTAATATAATTATTTTTTTTTTTTACTATTTTTTTATCGTTAAATACAAAATTTCGAATCTTGTCTAAATTTTCTGTTGAAGACATATTGAATATCTTTAATGTAATTTATGTAATGTATTTTTTCTTTGCGTTATATCTTGAAATTATCGAAATTATTGTTATTTTTTTTTATTATTTTTATTCAAATAAATTATTGTGAACTGATAGGGTAGAATTATTGCGTGACCTCATTTTGAAATAAATTTGTACCTTGTAATTGTAAACATTTTTACGGGATCGTCTAGCCCAAGAATGGCGGATAATAACGAGGCAACCTATGAAGCTATAATCATTTCAAAATAATACTTTATAACAATTTGTTAATAATTTGCCAATACTTTGTATTGTTAAACAAAGACATGCATTGAAAAGAACTTAACATTTCATTTTTTATAACGGTTTCAAAAAGAAAGTGTCAAATGTGAACATAAATTGTTATCTTTCTCTTTAATTTATCACTTTAAGAATTCTCCAAGAAGAACGATGTTAAAATTTTCGAACTTCGTGAAGTACATCATTTTTTTTTCGAAATTCAAAATAATAATATAAATAAATAATTTCATTTATGATTATTATGATGAAATCTATATGGTACCGTTAAAAATAAAATATTGTAAAGGTGGACGACCTGGTTATGCCAATGTATTATTTTGGTGATTTTTATAATTTTCTAGGAAATAAAATAGTTCTACGCGTCCAATTGGAAACCTACACCGAACCTCGATGTATTCTACGTGACAATTACGTATACAATTAATGACGCGTAACAATTATTCATTCAATTAATTATTTACACAATTATTTGTTAGCTATCAACGAAACGAAAATAAAATATAATGATAATTGAATTGCCGAATTGTTAAATAGTTAGAAATTGATGGAATAATACCTTCATATGTTCAATATCGCCCGTAATGAGAAAACTGAATGCGGGAGTTATCTTTTGCTCTACAACCACACTTGCGCGTCCCGAGGTATCCACCTTAAAATTCATAAAAAGTCACATAAAATATAAATATTTGAATCAAATATTTTAAAAAAAAATTTTTTTCTCATTTTTATTTATTTAAACATTCGAAATTTTTTTTTTTTTTTTTTTTAAAAAAAAAAAAAAAAAAAATCAATGATCAAAAAAAAATACAATTTTTTACAAATGTAAAACTTACCTGGCCTCTAAACGTTGCCATTCTAAAATCGAATTTACCACCCTTGAAAACAATTCGAACAATTCGAACAATTAGCATCGGCTTGTGGTTGGCTTCTGGACAAAGCGAGACTAACACCACAGATCAGCTACATACTACAGTGCATAAAGCTTCTCTTCGTCCTGCTGCAACTATAAGTTGAAGTTCTGTTCCAAAATCCACTTTTTCGTTTAACTTCTGATAGTATGATGCTTGTAGAGCACCAGCTTCTTGCCATTGAATTGTTGCAATATAATCTTTTCCGGTATATTTTGCAACCAAGGATTGGGTACATTCTTCTATATCCGATGTTGGTTTCTGATACACAGTTTCAACACCCAAAGCAAGTTTTTGGGTAACAGATTGGATATAACTTAAAAAAAAGATACCGGTATTTTCGACCGGCCAAGGATTAATTGTTTTATAATTAATAGAATAATCAGAGCCTTGATAATCTTGTTCAAGTTGAAGCATTGAATGTCCAGGAGATGATGATATCTTTTTTTTGATTTTTATTTTTTTAAAGAAATGAAGAAGTTATTAATGTAAATATAAAATAAAAATTTATTATACTTAATAATTAATTCTTCCTCACATGTGCTTGGATTTTAGTAAGATTATTTGCGTTCCACGCATAATTCGTGCGTGCAGTTAAAGTTCCATCAGTATCAATTGTACCATGAAGAAAAGCCTCAAAAAAAAAAAAATATGATGCAAAAAAATATGTAAAAAATATGATGTCATAAATCTTATGTCATAAAGTCAAGAATATAATGTCAACCAAATTGTCGGGGAATTTAATTACCTTTGTTCCAATGAAGGCAGCACCAAAGTTGTACGTTGGTGCATTTATCGTTGAACCCATGGAAAAAGAATGCGTGACTTGAAAATTTGGTGACAAAACTTTGGTGAGATCGGCCCTCCCACCATCGAATAAATGATTCGTAAGGAATGTGGCTGTATATTAATTATAACATAAAACATAAATTTAATGAAGTAATTAAAACATTCCACTTTTTAGAATGAACATTGGTTTTGAAATTAAATTGAAATTAAAATATTTTTGAATACTACCTTTCACTTCACGGTGTAGACCTTCAAAGGTACCCGGATTGGGCAAGTCAAGTTTCTTTCTATATTCCGTTATTCCATTAAAAAGTGAGCTGAAACTCCATGATTTAGACGTGGAAGGAGTCGTATTATTTGAAACTTTTTCACCCAAACCGGCCATGTTTTGTACTTGAAAAATGGTCACGCGTCGTTTTTTTCAAAGGTCAGAAAGTTACCAAGAGAAATAAGTGGAATAGATGTTCGTTCACGCAAAAAAATTTTGATCATTGTGCTACACTCATCATAAAAAAAAAACCATATTTATCAGTAATCTCAGATGATAATCATTTTTTTTTTTGAGATTACAGTTAGTGCCTCTATAGTCATTTACCTTTGGTAAAAAAAAAAAAAATAGGTGACTATAAAAGGATTGTGCCTTATCTAGAGACTTTTTTATACAGTATTACTAAGTATTGGTTTCAAAAAGGATGTGATTATAAAGAGATTTTTACATAGCATTAATAGATTACAGTGTGGAAGTCTATAACCAAAAATTTTAACCTCAAAATAAGATCAAATTTAAAAGGCTAAGGCTTATTACACAAACCTAAAATAGAAATTTTAACCGGCTCTTTCAGAATTATTGGGTTTTTATTTTATTTTTGACTGGCATTTATATAGTAAGAAAATTGCTAAAGATCACCAGTGGTGATTGTCACCACTGGGAAGAATTAAATTTATGTGGGCAAAGTTAGGGTTAGGAAGTTATGTAATTCTGCCCGGTGGTGACAATCACTACTGGCGAGCTTTAGCAATACCCTTTTTTTAATTAATAAAAAATTATTTTATTTTAATTTTATTGGCTAAAAATTGGGAAAGAATATATTAGATCGATTCCTTTTATCTAATGTAATGATACTTTTTTAAATTTTTTTTTTTTGAACAATTTTTATTGGTCAAATTCAAGAAAATCCCTTTATATAATGTGATTATATAAGGTGTGACTATAGAGGGGTCTATTTTAGTAATCCCCAAAATCCCCAAATATCATAAATTCATGTGAAGTATAAATTAACCAAATAAATCAGCCACACCATTTTGCTGCGGTCCGGATGCAGATAATCAGAAAGTAGTTAATTGTTATGCCGAAAAGAAAACAAGTATTTAATAATCGAGGAGATAATGAATTATTCAGAGATGAATGGGAAGATGTTGTATTGGCACCAAAAATTGATCTCTTACAACACGTTGGAATTAATCTTGGAGACTTACCAAAGAAAGTTTACGACTTTATTAAAATAAGACCAGAAGATTTGGAATTATTTAGTGAAGAGTAAATATTTTGTTCAATAATTATTTTTTTATTTTTATTATTGTGAATGATTAAGCAATTATTTACTTTTTAATTATATTAGAAAAAGTGAGTAATTCAGTAATAATTAATTTTTAACAAAGTAGGAATGGAAGAACTTATCTTCCATTTCCTCGTGATCCAACATCAATAGTCTTTTCTGATAAAGATTCATCATTTCAGGTTCCTCAATGTGAATCATATCCAATTCGTATGTATGTCTTGTAATTTTATATTTTATATTTTATATTATTACTATTATAATTTTATTATTATAATTTTATTATTATAATTTTATTATTATAATTTTATTATTATAATTTTTATTATTATAATTTTATTTATTTATTATTATTTCATTTTCCTAGGTGACAAATTAAATGAGAAATTTGGTTACATATTAAATTTTGGTGGTTCGGTTTGGGCATTAGAATGGTGTCCAAACATAAGTTCACCGGGTGAACAATATTTAGCTATTGGAGGTTACAAATCCAGTGTTGATGAACATCATCCAATTGGACGAAAGCAAAAAACAGATTTAAATCAGGCAATACAAATATGGAAAATAAATTGTTCAATTGATAATTTTGCGATGGAAGAAGAGGAGAATCAAACTTTTATTAATAAACCAAAATTAGATATGGTTATTTGTCATGAATATGGATGTGTTTTTGATATGCAATGGTGTCCATATGGTACAAATGATTATGTTGATGATAATGAGAATAGTGAGAGTGATATTGATAAAGTTGGTGAAGAAATAGTATTTCAAAGATTAGGAATTCTAGCTGTGAGTTTTGGAAATGGAACAATTGGAATATTTTCTATTCCTAAACCTGATTCTATTAGAAAATATTTTGGAGAACCACTTGATTCAATGAAACCTATTTATGGTAAAATAAAATATCTAAAAAATATCTATTAAAAAAAATGAATTTCATTCTTATTTTTATAAATTAATTAATTAATTTTAATTTATTTAATTTATTATTTTTGTATAGTGAAATTTAAAGAACCATTAATAGAACTTTCTTTACCTCAGACAATGTGTTGGACAGTTAGTTGGGGAGGTCATTATAAAATTTCTACTGGATGTACAAATGGAGATATTGCGACATGGAATATTTTTGATATATTAAAACAAAAATATGTTAATAATGTTTTTGATGATCCGGAAGTGACCTATCCAATAAATTATATGCGAGCTCATGATTCATGTATACGACAAATTGTATGGAATTCACCGACCAGCCCTAGTCATACATTAAGTTGTGGACATGATGGTCGATTACAGATTATCGAAGATCGGGATCCGATGTTTAAAAATATGTTTCAAAGGATTAGGGGTAATTTTTATTAGTAGGTTTTTTTTTTAACATAATGTGTAATATTTGTGCGTGTGTAGCATTTCGCATTTCGGGTGTAGTAATATTATTTCAGGTACAATATTTCGCGTGAATAACCTTAATATATAATATATATAGATTTTATGTCTACGGTTTGTTGGCCATGTCATTATGGAGGCATAGTATATGCGGATTCTGATAATACGGTACGATATATAAGAATGGATGATTTAAGGAAAACTACAGGATTAATTATGCATCATGCGAATGTTTGGGTATATTATTATTTTAATTTTTATTTAATTTTTATTTAATATTTATTTAATATCTAATATTTATTTAAATCTAATATTTATTATATTAATTTATATTAATTATTAATTAAATAATAAATAAAAGAGAATAGCGGCATCATATTATCATCCATTTGTAGCAAGTTGTTCTGCGGATGGATCGATAAAGATTGCAAATATTTGTCGATTGAGGGATAGGCACCAGGTTAGAATTTTCTTTTTAATTTTACTTTCATTTATATCAAAATTACATATTCTTCTATCGATTACATTATTTATAATATTATCTAATTATATTATTTATTATAATAGAAACCAATTCAAGTGACATGGTATCGTATAGGATTTAAAGAAGATGAAGTTACAGTTCGATATTATCACAATATTAAATCAAAGGTAAAAATGATAAATATATAATAAATACTATTAAATTATATTAAAAGTAATGAAATCAGTCACTTAAATTCGTATTGTATTCATAGGAAACTACCGGAACATATCACAATGCTGAATCTTTTAGTCACTTTTATAGACCAGAAGTTTCTATACAACGAGTAAATAAATAAATAAATATATATATATATTATATTATTATTTAATATATTTATTCAATATTTTAATATATTAATTCAATATTTAATAACATTATTTATAGATTTCTTGGAATTCAAATATTTGTTCTGGTACATGGTTAGCTTCGGGTGGTACTTTAGGATTAGTTAGAGTAGATTCTGTTCATCGAAAATAGATTTTAATAATAGATAATATATAATCAAAAATATATACATAATACGTATATATAATACATATATATAATACATACATAAATATATATAGTTAAATTACTCAAAATATAAATCAAAATGTGATCAAAATATAATCAAATATAAATAAATAAATATAAATAATTAAAAGTTACTCAAAATATAAATAAATAAATATAGTTAAATTTACTTTAAATTTAAATTTAAAATATAGTTAATTTTAATTAAATTTAATTAAATTTATCTAAATATGGTTAAATATAGTTAATCAATTTACTAGCTTTACGATGTCTAAACCATAAATCAACATCTAAAGCCATATTCACTCTTTGAGCTAATCCATAAACTATAGAACTTCTCATAATTTCTATAAAACCTAATTTATAAAATAAATCCATTGCAGGTTCTTCCCAAGTAGAAGTTATTACCATAATTTTTTTAATTTGTTTCTTATATACATATTTTATTGCATGTTCCATTAACATAGTAGCAATTCCTTGTCTTTTATAATTTGAATCTACGCATAAATATTTTATTTGTGGTAATAACGGTGATGTTAATGGTATTAATGAATTCCGTTTTTTGGACACACGTGTTGCTTGAAATTCAAGAAATCCAATAACTCGATTTCCCGATTGTTTGTCGATCGCCACCCAAAATTTGGAAATTTGATCGTTATCATAATAATAATTATTATTATTATTATTATTATTATTATTATTATTATTATTATAATTATTATCATCTTGCCGACGATTATATTTCATTTTAGATAATTCATGTAATTCATGACGAATAGATTGTTGAGCTTCATTACATATTTTATTGGTAATAAATCCATTGGCATTCATATATAAAAAGAATCCCCATCCAATAAATACAAATACTATTAATGTTATATGGGAAGCATTATTTTTTATAGTGAAATATGTTAAAACTATCCAAAGAATAAGAACATAAAAATGTTGCATAGTAGAACTGAGTGCATATGAAACATTGCTAATAAATAATAAAGTATGTTAATAAATAAAAGTTATCAATTAAATATAAATTTATATTTATAAATAGTAGATAATTAATTATTAAAAGTATAATAAATAATTAAACTATTTATACTTACTCTAACATAGAATTAACATAAATTTTTTGTACATCATCACTATCTTTATCCATAAATTCACGAATTTTAATATTTTCCGAAGAAATATTCTTATTGGAAGATTTATTCTCGTTTAAAATTCCTTCTGATATCGCCATATTTTTTAATTTAATTGATCAATTTAAGTAATTTATGATTAATAAACATTTAACAATAGTTAATATATATATATATATAAAAATATATATATATATATAATTTTATTTTTATCTTTAGTTAATATGAAATTTAGATAAAAGAAACAACATAAAGGTGGTATATTTATAGTGTAGCAATTAAAAAAACATGAAAAACATGAAATACATGAAAATACACGAATTATAACATTGAGTAGATTTATATAGTAACGTAATCTAATAGCTTATTTAATTCGGTTTTGGCGGTAATAAAATGACACAATAACTAATAAATGATTTATTATGAAATACCAGTTGCCCCTTAAAATCACAATGGCTTATAATTTGTAATCTTTAAAATAATTTGGAAATCAATGATTTTTGTGATCCCGTTATTATCTCTGGCCAATCACGTTGCATATTTACGTTTCATCTATTATCTAAAAACATATAAAATATCCAATTTCCCTTTCCTCAAAAACGTAACCTATATCATTTATTCTTTCCTTTAGTAGGAAGAGAGAACCCCTCATAAAGGTATTGGAGGCTGCGCTTTAATCAATCAAAGATGTAAAAATATTAAAAAAAATTGATAATTTATATATTTTAATTAATGAGCGAAAAAAAAAATGAAAAAAAATATTATACAAGTTATAAAAAATAAGAATTTAAATTTATTCAATGAACAGAACATTGTTATTTGTCTATATTTGTGACGTTAAATAATTATAATATACAATTTAATCTCTAAATCCTAATAAAAAATGATTTGTTCTATTAAGAACAGGAATTACATGAACCAGGAGATGTCTCACAATTACAAAAATTCAAAACTAAATCTTTAATTTCTTCATTCAATTTTTTTACCTCACGTTTTAACATCGTTGACATATTGGATTGATCTTGAAAACGTTCTATTTGTTTGACTAATTCAAGTTCTAACCTTGAAAACATCATTGATGGTGAAGAAAGTAAAAATAATGTGGCAAAAGCTACTTTACTATCTATTTGTTCATTAGATTCTGGTTGATTTCTTTTATATTTTTGATAAATTGATTCGACGATAGGATATAATGGAGATTTTGCTAGATCATTAAGGAGCACACTAAGATAATATTCATTTGATTCTTTTTCTTTTCCATTTTCTCCTACTACTTCTTCATTTTCATCTTCAGGAGGGATAATATATTTTTTAACATCAAAAGCTGAAATATAATGTTCAAATGATATTAACGATGGATTACTTAAGATAACCTTTGCTACTTCCTCAAGAGTTTTGGGATTTTCAGATTGTAATTGTTTGGGAATATCTTGACAGAATGTTTTACCCAATGTAGTCCAATTAATTATCACCTGATTATCACTTTCTTGATGTGAAAGTTTACATAAAGAAATCGTCTTATTATAAGGGTTTGAAGATAGAAGAAAGTAACCACGGGGTAAATTTGTTACTATATCCAAAGGTTGCATGGCTTCAAATAATTTATCAACTGAAGCAAAATATGATGGATATTTAAACCTACATAAATAATATATTTGCGTGTATTTTTATATATGTGTATATATATATGTTTTAATATAATAATAATAAACAAAAGATAAGGAATGAGATTCTTTTTTTTTACCTTGCCACATCAAGTACAAGAGCCATATTTTTTTCATAATTATATGCCCCAATTGGTGAATAATGTCCATCACCAGTTTGTTGTAAAGTTTTTCTTGAAAACGAAATGACCATAAAAATATCAGAACTTGAACAAACTTTCTTTAAATCTTCAATAAATTCTTCCTTCGTCACATGGTCAGCGCGTTTAACAACTACATCACAATGACATTTTGCCAAACATGCAAATTGTGAAAATGTAGTTCCATTCTTCTTTACTTCTTCAATAGGTGAACAACAATTTAAAAGTTCATCAGACCACCAACGCCATGGTCCTTTCCATACAGGAGCTCCTTTAACCTGTAATGCGTTAAGAACTATTGATAATGAACTTAATCCACAATAGGCCGGATCCATCTGATGGGAGAAACAACTAGATAGATTAAAATATCCTTCGGCATAACCTTGATTTAATGATTCTTTAAATAATTCTTTTCCATCGGGTGAATTGAAACTTATTAAACTATCCGGTAATTTTCGACCTTGAAAGAAAACTTGAGGTTTAATTTGAGGTTGAGGCTGAGACTGAGGTGGAGGTATAGGCTGAGGTGGTGTGCTATCCTCCTTTTTAATTTGCACCGAAAATTGAGGAAGATGAAGAGAATCGCGTGATAAATTAGAAAAGGACATTGTAAATGCAGAGGAATATTTTCGACTTTTAGAAATGACAAACTGTGAATTATTCTGAACAACAGGTCCCTTCAATAATAATAATAAAAAAGTTCGAGATCGTACAAATGAGTGCGAAACTTGCTTTGAAAACATTTGATAATTAGTATCGTTGATGACTCGGCTTCAAACTTCAACGATACGTGTAATACACGTTACCCGTTAAGATCGTTCAAACGTCAAATGTAAGAACTTCGAGTTAATTCCTCCAAGTTTAAAATTCATTAATAGTGATATAAATGCACACATTGTGCACGTGATTACTGTGCAAAGTCGATATATTTGGATAAACTCGACAAAAATGGAATGAAAATTTTTTTTTTTTGTATAAAAGATTTTCAATACTTTTGGTCAAAGCAACAAAATAAAGTTTTAGAACATACACTCATAATTTTAATAAATAGATCAAAAAAATTTTCGAGTTAGATTGTTTAACAGATATGAATGTATTTAGATATCATTTTTCATAAAGTTAGCTTGATCCTTCGAATACGAAATTTTATTATCTTTATTTATTTGTGACCTCATTTAGAAGATCCCTTGACTGTTAAAGATTAGTTGCGTCACGTTACAGTGAAAATAAAACGACCGCGTTTTGCATAAATTTTTTGAACTAGTAAACCTCGTGATTTGCAATTGATAATCAATAAAAAAAAAATTGAAAATTGAAAAGAAAAATGGAAATATCTGCAAAACAAGCCAGAGAAGCCTCAAATATACTTCAACATGTAAAAAGTGACGAAAAAAGTGTGGTACTTCTTAAAATCATTAAAGAACTAGATAAGAAAAGGCTTGAAATATTTGAGGCAAATAAACTTGATAAAGAGGTATGAATATTTAGGAATTGAAGGAATTGAAGGAATTGAATGTTCGAGAATTTTCATTTAATTTTTCTTAATTAAGAATGCCGATAAATTGGTCAAAGCTGGTACACTTTCAGCATCTTTATATAAACGATTAGATCTTGTCACTGGCGATAAATTTTCAACCATGCTCCAGGGTATTTCAGATATTGAAAAATTGCCAGATCCTACAGGAAAAATCACTTATGCTAGTAAACTTGATGAAGGATTAGAATTATATCGAGTTACTTCTCCGGTTGGAGTTTTATTGGTAATTTTTGAGGCGAGACCTGAAGTGGTTGTTAATATCTCTGCATTAGCTATTAAATCAGGTAATTAAGATTAGAAGAATATATATATATTATTATTATTAAAATTATTTGCAAATTTGTCATTATTATTTAATATTATTTTAAATATATTTTAAATATTAAGGTAATGCGGTAATATTAAAAGGAGGAAAAGAATCTATTAATACTTTGAATGCATTAACAAATGCAATTAGAACAGCATTGGTGGATACAGCAATTCCACAAAATACCATTCAACTTGTAGAAACACGTGAAAAAATCAAGGAATTGCTAGATTTAGATAAATATATAGATTTGGTAATTCCACGTGGAAGTAATAATTTGGTGAGATTTGTACAGGAAAATACCAGGTAAAATTTTTAATGATTAAGGAAAAAAAATAAATTATTATTTATTTTATTTATCTTTTAGGATTCCCGTGTTAGGACACGCTGATGGATTATGCACTGTATATGTTGATAAAGATGCTGACGTAGAGAAGGCCAAGAGAATTGTTCTTGATTCAAAGGTAATATGAATATTTATTTATTCATTCGGAAATTTTTTAGGCGTAAATCTCCGTAATATTACGACCCTACATATATTTTACGGTATTTATGTATTTATACGGGGCAGTTTTGACTTTAAACTGGAATATCTCTGCGAAGACTGGTGCTACAGGAGTGAACTCATATAATCTTGTAACCCAGAACCAAGGGCTTAAGATCGGTCATAACAACACCTTAATAGAAAATCTTTCCTTGTCTCACAAATCGCGATCGGGGTCATTTTTTTGGCGTAAAAATTGCGTAAAATTTCCGGAGAAATTACGAAAAAATTTCGTGGTAAAATTTTCCATTTTTTTGACTTCGATCGCGATTTGTGAGACAAGGAAAGATTTTCTATTAAGGCGTTGTTATGACCGATCTTAAGCCCTTGGTTCTGGGCTACAAGATTATATGTGTTTCATCCCTGTATCACCAGTCTCCGCAAAACGGCTGGCCTGTAGGTGTCGTAATACGGAGATTTATGCCTAAAAAAAAATTTCCTGATGCTTTATTTATATTATACTATATTATATAAATATATTTCCTATTTATTTAATAGGTCAATTATCCGGCCGCATGTAATTCTGCTGAAACATTGTTAGTGCATCGTGATATTCTTTCATCACATTTATTACCAATCATCAAAACGCTTTTAGAAGCAAACGTTAAATTACATCTTGATCAAGAAATTCTTTGCTATTTATCATCATCATCATCATTATCTATTGACAATAATCCTCTGATACAATCATCTGAAAATAAAGATTTTGATACTGAATTTTTAGATTTAGAAATTGCAGTAAAAGTAGTTGATGATTTAAATTCAGCTATACAACATATTAATCTACATGGTAGTAAACATACTGATTCAATAGTTACAGATAATGAAGAGGCTGCCAAAAGATTTATGCAAGGTGTTGATTCAGCAGGTGTATATTGGAATGCCAGTACTCGATTTGCTGACGGATTTAGATATGGATTTGGTGCCGAAGTGGGGGTAAATATATTTTTATCAATAAAATGTTCAAATATTTAAAATATTTAAAATACTCATATATTTGTATAAAATATATATTTTCAGGTTAGTACAAACAAAACTCACGCACGTGGCCCAGTTGGGTTAGAAGGATTAGTTATTTATAAATATAAACTATTCGGTACTGGGCATATAGTAAGTGAATTTGGTGAAGGTGAAGGTATGAAACAATATTTACACCAAAAAATAGATAATTTTGATCATATTTTATAACATAAGTAATAGATATACCACGGAGACTAACGCTCATGATAATTTTATTGATTAAAAAAAGAGCGTCTCTTTGATTAGTTTAAATAGAATAAATAAAGCTATGTTTAATTTTAAAGATATTAATTTCATATTTCATTTGTATCTTCCATATTTTATCGTTAATTTTTTATCATCAATATGTTAATAACCTATATTGCTAATAAAATCATTTAAAACTAAGATATCCCACGGAATTTTATAGACTGTGAAAATATCATCAAAATCAACATGAGTGACCAATTAGTAAATGAGGGATAAATTTAAATTATTACCTATTGATTTATTTCTTGTTTAAAAATAATTTTTTTATTTTAAATATTTTATGAAAATCAAGTTTTTAACATGGAAAACAATTTAGAAAATAATTTTTGTAATTCCCTGATCAACCCTTAACCCAAGTAAATTTAATTTTTCCCTGTAGTGACAATCACTTAAGTAAATTTCTTTTGATTACAACTACTATAAATTAAAAGCTTATAGATTTTATAGATTTATTTTATATATCTCATAATAATTAAAAAAAACAATAATAACAATTGTAATCCAAAAGGATTAATTTATTTAACCTCATAAAAATACAGTTAAGTTTTATATTAATAATATATTATAATAATTATATGTAATCAAAAAAAATCAATATTATCAAAAATATAATTTGAAAAAGAAAAACATTGAACAGGACAGGACAGCTTATGTATTTCTCTTTCATTTCTTGATCTGCATTTAAGGACATAATTGAATTTTCAGATTTAAATTTAATTCATAACATAAATCCATTTTTTCTAATATTTCTAAAATTATCTCAACACTTGAGCCTTTGTGCCAACATTTTCCATCAATTCTACATAACGATATACTCTATCAGAAAATGTTTTTTTTTTTCATATTAATGTTGTCCACATAATAATTCTATCACCATAAATATCATTCCTATTTTATTGAAGAAAATTATTCAAATTTACAACTTTCATATCGTAAAACTATTGAATCATTGGATCTTGCGTTATTCTCACAATATACTTAACTTTGATAATTCACAGTTAGTCATATTATAAAATTGTAAAATAATCATTTTTTAAACAACAATATATATCTCTTTTTAAAAATTCAGAATTGACTTGATGTGAAGTAACTTGATTTAAATTGTAGAATTCAATAATTCTTTTGGCATACCTCCATTTTGCTTTCCAGTTAAATACCCTATATTTTTGAATCTACTATAATCCATCCACCTTTAAATTTCCATCCTTCTGCATTTTCATCTAACCGAGTCATTCAATTAATTTTATTGACTTAATAATTACCAATGGTCCATTTTGACAAATAACTTAAATTTCCGCAATTATGGATCTCATTGCAGATGCAATAGTTTTGATATGATTAATATCATATTTTTGAAATTCCAATTTCATTTCGATAGAAATTGTCCATATTCCAGGTCGGAGTCAATCACGAGATTTTCCGTTGACTATGGCCAATTAAAATCGTGAATTTTTGTTTATACGACGAAGAAAAAGTGAAAAACACAAGAAACAGATGTCTAAAAAATGTCGGGGAGGCAATTTTACATATTATATCTACTTAAACCCTAACTTTAATTTCGGGTAATCATGAAATTGACTCCGCTTTAGACATCCTTAGCAGATTCTTCAATATCAATCTATTTATTTGCTAAAATATAATGATTCGATTTATTTTTGGACTGTATTGATAAATTTTTTTAAAAATAGATAAATATTATGGAAGTAAGATATATTTTATTCTAAACATGATTTTTTATTCGTGTATAAAAGGTCTAATTATTACAGATGTCTGTATATTTTCTTTATGATAATAATGATAATTTACTTTATATTTTTAAAATCTGTTAAAAGTTATTCAAAAAATTTAAACATATTCAGCTGTTTCTCAAAGAGACTGACAGTGATAATTAAACAAAAATAAACAAAGCTTTTGCCACATAATCTTTATCTCTTACGATTTGTCGTATTTAATCAGTGGAACGTCGTAATTTTTACCTCCATTTTTTCCTAACCAATCAATTATTTATTTGAAATCCTAAAACATTTGAAATCTACTTCAAATGAATTTTAATAATCAAAATATTCATGGAGATATCAAGTAAATAATAAAAATCAATTTTGTAATAATCAAATATATATTTTTATATATATATATATTATTCATCTAATTCATTTAATTCATTTAATTCATTTAATTAAAAATAACAAGTACAAAACAAGTCTCTAGAAAATTTCTATTTGATAGTTTTTCAGAGAATGAAGAGAAAGAAATCACAGTTAAAGAAAATACAGAAAATGTGAAGAAATTATTTGAAAAGTTGGAAAGAGAATTTGAGATTGTTTATATGGATGGTAAATAACTGATAATATATTTTATTAATATATTTTATTAAAATTATGAATATCATCTTATGTTTCATGGGAATTAATTTTATTGATATATAAATATTATTTTCATGTAAAAGAAGAAAGTAATGACAAAAATGATTCAAAACCACAAATTGAAAACGATCAAGGTTTCTATTTTTTTTTTTAGAACATTCATAAATTTATGATAAATTTATAATATATATTTATAAAATATTTATGCATTTTATAGTATTTAGATTATTTTCAAAAGAGCCAACAAAAATTTCTTTAGAATCAAAGGACATCAAAACATATAATGAACAAGTTCAAATTATGAGAGAGAATATAGAAAAGATTAGAAATAGTCAAAGGTTATCATTATTATTTTTTTTAATAGTCAAAGGTTATTATTATTTTTATTTTTATTTTTATTTTGATGAATTATTATTTACATATAACATAATAGAGATGAAGAAAAACGTCTCAAAGAAATTCAAGCATCAGTTATAACATCTGAAAAAATAATCAATGAATCAAAAATTCCATGGGAACGTAATTTTGTATTACACAAAGTGATAAACGTGCATGAAAAAGAATTCGAAATAAAGAAATGTAAAAGGAGGAAAAGCAAAAAGAAAAGAGACGCTAATAAGAAAAAAGGTATGTCTATTTATATTTAACATTTATATTTTATATTTAACATTTATATTTTATATTTAATAGAAAAGAATAATAAATTTAATAAATATAATAAATGGCCATAATATGGTATAGGATTGAAACCCTCTATTAAATTTATTAAATTTAAGAATGTCAGTAAACGTAAAAAGGATAATATGAATAATTAATGATATTCTCGGAAAATAAGGAAATGACCAAAATGAAAAATTAAGAATAAAAAAAAAAATATTATTGGTTTTTATATTATTGTACGAATTATTTTTGATTTAAAATTTTTAACTATCGAGTCTCGAACGCTGATCAACCAGACTCCGTATTAAATTTAAATGTATCACGAATTTAAAAATTAAATTTTTATGAGATCGTATTGAATGTATATCAAATATGATTATGAATTTTTGCATAAATATCAAAGTCATCCGTCAAGGATTTATTTGTGTCTACGAAATTCATTTCTTTGCTTTCATTCCTCCCATTCCTCTTATTTCCCTCTCTTTTCTCTCATTCATTTCCTTTTTCTCATCCCTCTATATATCTCCTTCATAAATTATATATTTTATATATTTATATATTTATATATTTATACATATTATAACTCAATTAGCTATATTCATAAAAATAGAATAAAAAATGCATTCACATATTATCATTTTTCTTTTATTCATATCAACAATTTCTTTTACCTTAGCTGATTACTCAGTAATCAGTCCAGGTTCAGGATCAATCTTAAACAAAGGAGAGACAGCAACCTGTATTTGGACTGTTCTATCTCCCACTGACCAAACTGTCGATGTGAGATTAGTACATGGAGCTGCATCTAATTTACAACTTGTTAAAGTCTTATGCCCAAATGTTAAGCCACAAGTGGGTAAATGTCAATTCACTGTAGGAAATTTGCCTTCAGGTTTTGATTATGCCATTACTGTGGGAAAAGATCCAAATCATTATGGATACTCTAGTTTCTGTATGTATTTATTATTAATTTATTGTAAATCAGTGTAATCTCTTGTGATTCATTATTAATTTTATTATAAATTATTACTTTAATTACTTAGTCACTATTAAATCTGAAGGAAAACTTCCAGAGCAAAAAGGTTGCCCTAACTTTGTAAGTCTCAATATTTTACATAACATATGTCAAATATATCAAATATGTCAAATATGTATAACTAATATCTATGATTAATAATATATGATAATAATTTATATAAAAGGGAGGTCAAAATTGTCCCTCATCATTGCCTTGTTGTAGTGCCGCCGGATATTGTGGTGCCACACTTGAATATTGTGGAACTGGATGTGTTGCAAAGTTTAGTTTTAACGGACAATGCAGAATGCCTGGTTCTACTAAAGTCAAATCCAAATCCAAACAAACTTCACCAACTCAAGGTATTCAAGGTCTTTGTGGTTCTTCCAAGTGTACTGCTAACTTTCCTTGCTGTAGCAAATTTGGTTATTGTGGTTTGTATTATTATTATTATATCAAATATTTCAATATTTTTTAATTAAATACTAAATTTTTATTTTTTAATTATTATTATTTTAGGATCCACCAAAGATCATTGCGGTATAGGATGTCAAGCTAATAAAAGCTTTGGCGGTAAATGCCGTGCTTAATAATAACTAATCATATAATAAATTTTTAGGTAATTTTAAATAGAAACGCAAGAGTTTTAATAGAAAATATACCTTTAATCGTTAATTGTTTTCATCAATTTATTGATAAAATAAAATTTTCCCAACAAATTTAATTATGATGTATCACAAATTCAAAAAAGGAAATATTAACAATGGAATTAGCAAAATTTTATTGTTAATTTTTGGGCAACATGTAGGGATCATGATAAATTAGGAAAGAAATTAAAAATAATAATTAGCGCTGTCAGCCTCTTTGAGAAACAGCTGAATATGTTTCAAATTTTCTGAAGTAATAACTTTTGACAGATTTTAAAAATATAAGTTTCGTCCATATAAAACGTATCTCGATATCCAGATGTCCATTCGATCTACAGTACATATAAATGTCAGGTGCCAAGGCGAAACAAAAAAATTCCTTTTGTTTGGTCTCTCCGAGATATTGATATTATTATTATGAATATAAGAACTATAATTATTTTTTGTGAATAACAATCTAACAATAACCTGCTTTTTTTTTATAGCTTCATTTTGTTATGAATTTTTTTTTTTACGCACGAAATTTCGAATATTGTAAATAGTTTTTTTTTTGAATTTGTTTTGAATGTTAAAAAAAACACTGTTATATTCATAGTATGTGATGCTTCACTACAGATATTACTGTTTTCTTTTGTGTTTTTTTCAGTTACACGGTTCAATAAACAAAACAAACAAAGATATTGCCATATAATCTTTATCTGTTACCTTTTTACGATTTGTATATTCGTATTTAATCATTGGAACATCGTAATTTTTACCTCCATTTTTTCCTAACCAATCAATTATTTATTTGAAATCTTAAAACATTTGAAATCTACTTCAAATGAATTTTAATAATCAAAATATTCAAGATATCAAGTAGTGGTGTTGAACACCATAACCTATACCGCAGGGGTTAGGGTTTTTCAAGGGTAGTGTATTTATCACCGTGCGTCAAACCCATCGGAAAAGCATATTTGTCACCTAATATTTATCACACATGAAATCGATAATAAAAATCAATTTTGTAATAATCAAATATATATTTTTATACAGTATATATACATTATTCATATAATTCATTTAATTCATTTGATTCAAAATAACTAGTACAAAACAAGTCTCTAGAAAATTTCTATTTGATAATTTCCCAGAGAATGAAGAGAAGGAAATCACAGTTAAAGAAAATGCAGAAAATGTGAAGAGATTATTTGAAAAGTTGGAAAGAGAATTTGAGATTGTTTATATGGATGGTAAATAACTGATAATATATTTTATTAATATTATGAATATATTATGTTTCATAAGAATTAATTTTATTGATATATAAATATTATTTTCATGTAAAAGAAGAAAGAAATGGAAAAAATGATTCAAAACCACAAAATGAAAACGAACAAGGTTTCTATTTTTTTTAAAACATTCATAAATTTATAATACGTTTATAAAATATTTATGTATTTTATAGTATTTAGATTATTTTCAAAAGAGCCAACAAAAATTTCTTTAGAATCAAAGGATATCAAAACATATAATGAACCAGTTCAAATTATGAGAGAGTAGAAAAGATTAGAAATAGTCTAGGGTTATTATTATTTTTATTTTTTATTTTTACTTTGATGAATTATTATTTACATATAACATATAACATAATAGAGATGAAGAAACCCGTCTCAAGCATCATCTGAACAAATAATCAATGAATCAAAAATTCCACGGGAACGTAATTTTGTATTACACAAAGTGATAAACGTGCATGAAAAAGAATTCGAAATAAAGAAATGTAAAAGGAGGAAAAGCAAAAAGAAAAGAAGAAAAAAGGTATGTCTATTTATATATATCATTTTATGTTTTATATTTAATAGAAAAGAATAATAATAAATTTAATAAACCTAATAAATGGACATAATGTGATATAGGATTGAAACCTTCTATTAAATTTAATGATATTCTCGGAAAATAAGGAAATGACCAAAATTAAAAAAAAAAATAAAAATATTATTGGTTTTTATATTATTGTACAAATTATTTTCTGACTACAATCAATTATTCAATCATCTAAACAAAACAATAAAATATCATTGTAAAATAGAAATACGCCCACTAAAGTAAATAATATTTCTGTTTTAGGTTAATTATAATTAATTAATATTAAAAATGGAAACAACTTTTGTTCTTAAATCTAATGCAAATTGATAATCCATTATTAATAGTACTCATTGACAATGAAAATATATTTCATGTGGGTGTGTTGTTATGTATGTGAGTATACTTTAAAATATACTATATATTTATGCTGTATACTGCAAATACAAGGTAATAAATTTACTGGTAATTTAAATGTATCACGAATTTAATTAAATTTTTGAGATCGTATTGAATGTAATGTAATGTATATCAAATATGGTATTATGAATTTTGCATAAATATCAAAGTCATCCGTCAAGGATTTTTTTTTGTGTCTGCGCAATTCATTTCTTTGCTTTCATTCCTCCCATTCCTCTCATTCCTCTCATTCCTCTCATTCCTTTCATTTCCCTCTCTTTTCACTTATTCATTTCCTTTCTCTCATCCATCTCCTTTTTCTCATCCCTCTATATATCTCCTTCATAAATTATATATTTTATATATTTATATATTTATACATATTATAACTCAATTAGCTATATTCATAAAAATAGAATAAAAAATGCATTCACATATTATCATTTTTCTTTTATTCATATCAACAATTTCTTTTACCTTAGCTGATTACTCAGTAATCAGTCCAGGTTCAGGATCAATCTTAAACAAAGGAGAGACAGCAACCTGTATTTGGACTGTTCTATCTCAAACCGACCAAACTGTCGACGTGAGATTAGTACGTGGAGCTGCATCTAATTTACAACTTGTTAAAGTCTTATGCCAAAATGTTAATCCACAAGCGGGTAAATGTCAATTCTCTGTAGGAAATTTGCCTTCAGGTTTTGATTATGCTATTACTGTGGGAAAAGATCCAAATCATTATGGATACTCTAGTTTCTGTATGTATTTAATATTAATTTATTGTAAATCAGTGTAATCTCTTGTAATTCATTATTAATTTTATTATAAATTATTACTTTAATTACCTAGTCACTATTAAATCTGAAGGAAAACTTCCAGAAAAAAAAGGTTGCCCCAACTTTGTAAGTCTCAATATTTTACATAACATATATCAAATATATCAAATATGTCAAATATGTATAACTAATATCTATGATTAATAATATATAATAATACTTTATATAAAAGGGAGGTCAAAATTGTCCCTCATCATTGCCTTGTTGTAGTGCCGCCGGATATTGTGGTGCCACGCCTGAACATTGTGGAACTGGATGTGTTCCAAAGTTTAGTTTTGGCGGAAAATGTAGTGGTTCACCCAATCCTCCACCAGCTAAACCAAATAAACCAACCAAACCAACCAAACCAACCAAACCAACAAATCAAGGTCTTTGTGGTACTTCCAAGTGTAATAGTGCTGCTCCTTGCTGTAGCAAATTTGGTCGTTGCGGTTTGTATTATTATTATATTAGATATATATCAATATTTTTTTAATTAAATATTAATTATTATTTTTAATTGCTATTATTTTAGGATCCACCAAAGATCATTGCGGAAAGGGATGTCAAGCTAATAAAAGCTTTGGTGGTAAATGCAAAGGCACTGGTTCTTCTATTACTACAGTCAAATCCAAATCCAAACAAACTCCACCAACTCAAGGTACCCAAGGTCTTTGTGGTTCTTCCAAGTGTACTGCTAACTTGCCTTGCTGTAGCGAATTTGGCTATTGTGGTTTGTATTATTATTATTATATCAAATATATCAATATTTTTAATTTAAATATTAATTATTATTATTATTTTAGGATCCTCCAAAAATCATTGCGGAAAGGGATGTCAAGCTAAAAAAAGCTTTGGCGGTAAATGCCGTGCTTAATAAATAATAACCAATCATATAATAAATTTTTAGGTAATTTTAAATAGAAACACGAGTTTTAATGGAAAACTTTAAATTTTCCTTTAACTGTTAATTTGCCATAATATATATACAGTATATACTTTATTTTTCATCAATTTATATAGAAATTATTTATAGAGGATATTATTATAAAGTAGTTAGGAATGAAATAAAGGAACAATCTCTAATTTTATTCATTAAAAGAAATTCTGTTCACACGAGTTATTCAATCAAAATTGTTACAATTGATAAAATCATTTTATTATAAATAAAACAATGTCCATTTTAATTAAAGTAAATTGTGATGTCATTAGCATTATAATGATAAATTAGGAAAGAAATCAAAATAATATTTCATGAAACTCCGAACCGTGTAACTGAAAAAAACACAAAAGAAAACAGTAATATCTGTAGTGAAGCATCAAATACTATAAATATAACGGTGTTTTTTTTTAACATTCAAAAACAAATTCAAAAAAAAAAAAAACTTTTTACAATATTCATAAATATTCAAATAATTATTCGAAATTTTGAAAATTTGCGAAAATATGTTCAGTAAAATAAAGAACTTAAGCTTAAGAGATAGTAAAAGGAAAAGAAAGGATAAAGATAAAAATAATGCACTAAACACTTTAAAAATTAAAAATTCTTCAAATATTTCAAACATTACGGCAGATTCTCAAAATACTACAGAATCTAAACAATATTTTAGCGAAGTCAATAAGGTTCATCTCATTGGTGAATATGACTTGCCTAGTACTACTTCTACGACGCTTAATCATATGCAGACAGTTGGTATGGCCGTTGAACCATTCCTCCCTTTATTCACTACTGTTACGAATATTGTGGAAAGTTTGAATCAAATTCGCGCGAATGCAATTTATAATGAAAGAATATGTAATGCTTTACTTGATCGTGTTGAGATTGTTCAACATGCTGTTAAATCTTTACAACGGAAACAGCAAGAAAACGAAGAAAATTTCCGTGAACAAAGTTATTACAATGCATGGGTTAGGCTTATTAATGTCTTGACGAGTATTAAAAAATTTGCCAAGGATGTAACACAGCAAGGAGTATTACAAAAATATTCGAAGGCTAATGTTCTTAAGGAAGCTTTTGATAGAAATATTAAAGAATTCGAATCAGTCTGTTTTGATTTACAATTTACGATTGCGTTGTATTCGGAAGAGCAAAGAGCAATCGAGAACAACCAAGTTTCAGAAGATATTAATAATCTAGGAAAGGTATGTTATTTATTATTTATTATTATTATAAATAATATTTTTATTATTTATATTATTTATCATTATAACAATTAAATTTATTAAATTTATTAAATTTATTAATAGGCAATGAGTGATATTAAAGATGATATAAAAGGTGTCATGAGAATTTTAAATATTTTATTAAAACCCGGAGATGCTTTTGCTCCCGCAAAAAAACTTTTAAATGATGAACACAAGGCGCCCAATATTGAATATTCTGAACTTAAAGATCCAAATGCTAGTAGGGAAAACATAAGAGGAGCACAAAAAACTATTATAAGAAAAGTCTACCGTGGATTGGATGTCGCTTGCAAAAAATTTAAATCGGAGACTTTAGATACACTCAAAACCGAATTAACAATACTGAATTTACTAGGAAAATGTCCAAAAATTATTACCTTTTATGGTCTTTCGGAAGTGGACAAAACTAAAGTGATGGTCTTCGAATGGGCATCAATTGGAAACCTAAAAGAATTTTATTCAAATTCAAATAATAAAATTTCATGGACTGCAAAATTATCATTTGTCCGAGATATATTTTGTGGTCTTTACTTTATGCATGAAAGTGGAGTTCTTCACCATGATGTCCAGTGTGCAAATATCTTGGTAAATAAAAAAACTGTAATAATATTTTTACTATTAATATTATACTATACTATGAATATTATTAATATATCTTTTATATATTAGATCACCGAAAATTATGAAGCAAAGATTACAAATTTTAAAATGTCGCGCGATGTTCGAGGGGATACTACGTCATGTGACAATGTGAGTGATTATGTTCGTTGGTTGGCACCTGAAAAAATGCGTAATGAAAGGTATACCCCAAAATGTGAAATGTTTAGTTTTGGAATGTTAGTTTGGGAACTTAGTTATCAAAAAGTTCCATATGCGAACATGAAAGTAAAGGAAATCCAAACTCACGTTAAAAACAAGAAAAGGGAAACTTTGGAAATACTATCACATCCAAATCCGATTGCAGTTGGATTTGCGGACCTTATTAGGAGAGGTATTATTACAATTAATATTACAATTAATATTACAATTAATATTTAATTAATATTTTAATTAATATTTAGTTAATATTTAATTAATATTTAATTAATATTTAATTAATATTTATATATTTTTAGCATGGGAAGACAATCCAGCATTACGTCCATCAGATGTTCAAGTTAAATCTACAATCGAAACTTTATGTGAAAGATATTTGAATGGAAATTCACCATTAATTACTCCAAATGTAAACTCTGAAGTTGATATACCGAATTTAGAATTGAATCAATCAAGCCATCAAGCCTCCGAATCCAGTAACTATGATTTTGATGTCAAGACTACTCCAAATAAAGAAGATATTCCAATGATTAACATTATAAAACCATTCGAAGACGGAATCGCTGCACATAAACAGCGTAATTACAAAGAAGCTTGGGAATGCTTCGATGTACATTCAGAGTTAGGTCTTAGTACTGCAAAATATTGGAAAGGATATTATCTTCATTCTGGTAATTATGTAGAGAAAAATCTAGAAGAAGCTTTGAAATGGTTTAAGATGGCAGCAGATGATGGTGTTATAGATGCACAACTTCGTTATGCATTCGGGTTAATTGAAATTAACAAAGATAGTTCTAAAAACGATGAAATAATACGATACATGAAACTAGCGGCAGATGCTGAAAATGAAAGCGCTATGTTTCATCTTGGGGATATTTATTATAATGGAAAATTGGGGGTGAAAGAAGATAAAGATAAGGGTCTTAACCTAATCAAATTAGCAGCTTATAAGAATCAACAAGATGCAATTAAATTTATTAGTAATAATAAAAAATAGTAAAATTATATTTTGAAGTATATAGATATTTCATTATTTATCACATTATTTATTCATTAATTCATTAATTCATTAATTCATTAATTCATTAATTCATTAATTCATTAATTCATTATTTATTACATTATTTATTTAGATTATTTTTTCATTATTTATTTACATTTACATTATTTATTCATTATTCATTAATTATTTACCTATTTTATTAATTTATCTCATAATGAAAGATACAAAATACATATTTAAGTTGTTGGGTGCTCTCTCAATTGAATTACCTTGTTCATTCTATTAATGGGACAATAATAAAATTAGTATCTATTTGTATATTAATTTTAGGAATCTAATGATAAAATAAATGATCACCACTTCTAATTCAACTTCAATCTCTTTGGTAATAATAAAATACCTCTACCTGATAAAAGTCAATTTAAAATTAAATTTACAAAAAAAAATTTTACGACTGTTGGTTCAGGTAAAACGCACATAAATAACTAAGTCAATCAAATCCAATTTTTCAAATAAATGTTATCTTATTACTTTCAAAAATTTTAGCATTTCCTGTTAACTCTCTTGGAATTCAAAGAGAAAGGAGTGTATGTTATAGTTTATTCAGTAAGCCAAGCCAAGCTTGTGTATGAATGATCCTTGATTAAGATATTTAGCAGAGTTAATGTATTGAATTGAAAACCCAAATTGATTCTAAATGAATTATCCAAATGATATTATTATATATAATTTAATAAAAGTATGCTACCAAGATAAAGTGTAGGTAAATATCTTTAAAACAAATGACAGGAACCTTCACATCAAAACCGTAAGAATTAATTTTGAGCTTTAACTACCCACACTTAAACTTTTAATAAAAGTTTCGTTGTCAAACTTTTATATTTTGGCATCAGTTTACCATTCCAAATTGAAGATAATTCTTGTAAAAATATCACTTCTAATGAAATAATGAAATTTTATTAGGAATTCTTTACAAGAATCAGATTTATAAGACTAGTAATTTATATGAGTGGACAGCACAACATTTGCTAATTCAAATTTCTTAATACGAAATTCACAGGCAAGTCCGCAAAATTTCTGTGAAGTTTCCTTATAAAAGTTTTTTAAACATTTAAACTTTAAATTTGCATGATTTATTTATTGAGAGAAAAATAGTTTACGTACAGTACATGCAGCAATCATAGATTACAGACATATCTGGCCAGTATCTTTAAATAAGAAAAAATATAAAGAAAAAATTTCAAAAATAATTATCTATCGTAGTTACATATAAACTATTTAATTAATCATCAAAAATAATATTAAACGAAAGTTTCAGGTCATTGCTCAAGAATTAAGAGTATATGAATGATTGAAGTTTAAATTTTAAAAATTTTTATATAAAATTCAAACGTTTATTATACTCTCAATGCTTGAAAATAGACCTGAAACTTTGATAGTAAATGCAAATATATTTTGGTACTTAAGTTCGTTTAATTTTATTTTGACAATTGATTAAAAAAAAATAGTTACAATAGATAATTATTTTTTTTTTTGAAATTTTATCATTTATTTTTTTATAACAAATTTTTATTTAATATTAAAATAATTGTTTCTTTATCGAAATCTCTGACTACAATAAATGAATATTCCTACATAATCTAGTTATGGATTCAAATTGGGTGTAATCTAAAATTTTTATAATATTTTTTTTTTTTTTTGAAGGATGACTTATTGTCATGATAAGTTAAACCTTTGATCAAAAATATACTTGTTTTTGATGTCAGCAAAGGCTGTATTAATAACCTTAACCTATATCTCCATAAATGAAGGGATTAGCAGTAGCCACTTTGGCCATTTTGGCCACTTTGAAGAGAAAAAAGAATAGGGCAAAAATTTTATTTATTATTAATTTTTTTATTACAAAAATACATACTTAAAGAGATTGCAATATGGAAAACCTTTTGGAACAAGCACAACTGTATAAATGAGATTGAATTAGGAATCTAAAAAGCGGTTAGTTATTTTTTTCAGAATTTTTTTGACAATAAGGATTTTATCTAATTTAATACGTAATAATATTTTTTTGTCTATATAAAAAGAATTAATATAATTTTAAATAATAAAAGAAATAAGGTTCTACATAAAAGCATTAATACACCAGAAATTTGTTTGATTTATAGCAATTATATAAAATTATTTCCTAATTTTATTATCTTAGACATTAAAGAAATTATATTTCTATTTGTGATAGTCTAATATTCTACAGATAATTTTATAATTTTGTTCCTTTAATTTTGCTAGTGATCTTATAAATTACTAACTAACTTTAATACTAGAGTAAATCAATTAAAAATGATTTATGAGATATAATATAAATCGTTAGAATAGTTTTTTTCCAAACATTATACAGTTAACCCCTTGGACAAAAAATAAAATGGGTGATTATGATGAAAAGTGACTATGTAGAAGGATTTTTATATAGAATTCTAAAGTAAAAGAGGTGTGACTATTAAAAAACCCTGTGATTATAAGGGGTTTTTTTACATAGCATTAATAGGTATTGGTCGGAGATTTATATGACGTGATTATACAGGGTGACTATAGAGGAGTCTACCGTACTTAGCATGGTTATATGGTTTAAAGACACGATTTACAATATTTAATTAAATACTTCATAATCTACTATTGAAAATCTCTCATTTATTGTTTTAACACTTCCTTCATAATATTTAACATACTGTTTATTCAATCACACCAACTCTTTTTATCTCGAATAAAATTAGATGATTGAGTAAAATTAGATACTTGTGTATCTTGTGTATTTATTAAAAGCTGAACTTCAGAGCCAATATAATCAATAGCATATTTTCATCTTTCACTCGACTAAGAATTGAACTTTGTGCATTTCCATTTTTCAATGAAAAAATAAACCACTTTTGTTTTCATCCAAGAAGTATAACTTTCCTTTGTTTTATCCCATTCTAGAGGATTAAATCCTCCAAGGATTTTATTTGTACCTGCAACTTTTAAAATTGTCACTATAGTAGAGTGGCATGACACTTGTTCCAAAAAATTTTAGGATCAAACCCATCTTACTACCTCGTAATATTAATTGAAATTCATATGGGATATTGTTTAAAAGATATGTTGTAGAAGTTTCATTTATAACAATAGTGGAAAATTTATCTTGTGTTCGAGAAGGTAATTCGTTCATTAGAAAGTATTAGATGATAAAGTAAATCATCTAAAGTAAGGTTTTACTTCGTGTAAAATATTTTTGCCAAATATTTTAAAATAACGAATGTGAGATAAAAAGTTTTGTAAAGTAGTTTTCAATGCCATGAAATCTTCATCATACCATTCTTCACGTTTAGAAGGCAATTTTGGATTTTGGTTGATTCCCCATTGAATTACTTTATCACAAATCTTAATTTCCTCCATCTGTAAATTATCCATTTTAATAATTGATATCAAAAATCCTCAGCATCAAAAATAATATTTAGATATTTTGCAATATAATGTTATTACATAATTTTTCTAATAAATTAAATTTATTATTTGTTTAAAGATTTTATGATAAATTAAAGAAAGTTGAGAAAAGTGTGTACGTAACCAAGAAGCTTTGTTTTTAATAAGATAGATTTCTAATTGTTTAAATAATTCCCAATTTTTCAAATTCACTTGCGAGAATCATTTATTCAAAGATAAATTTTGTTTCGCATTACAATTCCGCCATAATATTACTTTTATTACTATTCGTTACATTGCAACTTTTTTTTTAAATATTTTAAATAATATAAAATTTATTACACACCAAGCATAACATCGATAATCTTCATTTGAAATATTGGGTTTAGAAATTGGTTTAATATTATTATCATTTTGAGGTGCGTTGGTCAATTCTTTATTGAAATAATGTCGATAGTTTTCTTATTTTCATCTTTATCAACTTCAACAATCACATTATAATCTTCTTATCATCCAAGAATGAGTAAAATCTTGAAATAACTTGTCAAAAATTTAAATGTCATTTTTTATAATAATGATTGCATAATAATAGCAGTTGGAATATAAAAATATAAATCAGCATTTGCGAGTAATTTAATAAAGGTTAATCGTTAATCAATCAATGAAAAAATTCAAAACTCACACCTGAGCACTGTCCAAGGTCTGCGTCCGCGCCGTCCGTAACCTTAATTAGCTTATAAATGTATGTTAAAACTTTTTAGATATATGCAAAAATCATAGCTCAAAGCAGATTTTTATAACAAAATTTTGCGTTATTAACGTTTTTTAAAAAAAGTAATACAATACTGCATTGATCTGTAAAATAAAATCAAATAAAGATCAATTTTTGGAAATCCCGACAAAGCAACAGTTCTCAAATAGATAAATATAATTTCTTTAAATGTAACAAGATGGAGATGGAAGACAACATTGAATCTGGAACGAGATTATGGTTCTTAAATGTAGATCTCTTTCAGTATATCACGAATCAATGAAGGATAAATAAGTATTTTCTTTTTTCTTTATTAATTTGTAACATATTAAAAAAAATTATTCTATTTATACTTAATCTAATAAATGTTTTATTGAACAAAACTATATAATTATTTGGTTAATAATTAAAAATTATTAAATATTCTAATTATTGTTATATATCAAATTTTAAAATAGAAGTATCTTGAACTCTTAAAGTATTTTGAATTGCTAAACTATGTTGTATTAAGGGTTGACTTGTTAAGTACGCTTCAGAATGAGTAATTTCAGCAGAATTTTCATTATGCATTTCTTGATCTATATCTAAAAACATAAGAGAATGTCCTGTTTTATTATCAAAACATAAATCCCTTCTCCATTTTTCTAATGAATTATAAATTGTTTCAGTACTTGGACGTTCAGATGGATCTTTATGCCAACATTTTTCCATTAATTCTATATAACATTGAGGTGTGTCTTCATCAATATTTGGTCGAAGTCCATTAAAAATATTTAAAGCTAATCTTGCATTA